TTTTTGACAGAACTATGTTGACACCTGCAGTTTCTGGGTTGACGAAATCCTTAGTTTCTTTCGTTAAAGACAGTTTTCCCAAGCCAACCCTGTGAGATTATTGTTGAACTAAGATACGGTGTTGTGACCTCAATTGATTTTCTTATCCGAAAACTTTTGCTAAAAAATAGTGTATGGTGGATTCTATTAGTTTCGTTTTGTTTCAAGGAAAATAACAACATAAAAGCGTGGAGTAAATTTTTATTAAGATCAATAACGGTGACTGCAATGAAAATTTTTTAATGAAAACTATTTTTTAAAGTTGCTTTGTGTTCGAAATCCTATGTGCCAGAATTTCAGTTATGATAGCTATAATTCAATCAATTCAATCAACCATTTTTTTCGGCAATGAGCTCTAAACTTGGAGAACATTTAAAAATGGAAAAAGAAGAAACTAATTGATTTTTTTTGCAATAAAAAAAACTGATGTTTGCAGTCCAATTCAACCCTCAGAATGTATAAAAGCTAATCATTTATTCAAACTATATGGCCCCACTGGTCATGATTGCAAAAGTATCAAATTAAATAAATACTCGCTACCAGTCTTCGCCAAACTTTAGGCAAAAGGTTTCAATGAGTGCATTTCTAAAGGATACTAGTTCGAATCGTTTGAAAAAGAAAAACTTTTCAAAATGGGAGTTTAAACGATCCAAGTAACTTTTGACCTTTCGGTTTGATAAGTGCTGTTTTCAAAAAAACGCACCCTTTCTTTCAATAACAACAAAAAGGCTTCCTTCTGCTAAACAGTTTAGTTTTCAGCCGCAAAAAAAATTCATCGATGTTTTGATAGTATTTACCGAGTTCGCTGAGGTTAAAAGAAGCCTGGTTGCAAAATGACAGACATGATTTGCTTTTTTTTAAATAAAGAACGCCTTTATCGCGCTCACTCACGTTTTTCTAATCCAATATCTTTAAAACTTTGGTTTTCATGGTGTTTTCTTGAGCTTACGCAGATACGCAGAGCTGTAAAAATTAAACATCAGGTGTTAATATGTAGAACAGAACATACTTAATCGAAAAACCAGCTTTGGTATATCTCAAGATCCATTTTTAGAACGATTAGCCAGATTGATTAAAAACCTGAAGAATTTTCTTTTTTGCTTCTGATACAACGGTTTGGATGGAAACCAATCATTGCACAAAAAGATGGTGCTTATAAAATTGGCTACCAGTGAATTTTTAAAAGTGTAGCCTCCCAAAATTGGAACAAAAATTGTTTGTTGACAAATCTTGTCTGCGTTAGAAAATTAACAATTTAATCCTTGAAGTACCCAAGTAAAAATCTTCACTACAAAAAAAAAGTTTTTTGGAGCATAATTTAGCAAGTACAAAAAAGATGGCTCCGTTATCGGGATTAGTCTATGAGGCCTGGTTCTTTTTAAAAACCCAAATGCTCCAAATTTATACCACATACTCCAAATCAGTTTTTTCCGACGGAAATTGTCTTTCTGATAACACATAAAACTCAAAGAGATATCACTTTCAGAAAAAAAATTTACGTTTTAAAAATTTGGAGTCTGCTACGTCTTAAGAATTTAGAGTCTGTCAGAGAGATGAAAAAAAGAGAAAAAAATCTTAGTATGTGAAAAGATTTCTAGTTGAATTGCCTAAGGAAATGCTAAAAATTTTGAGAACCAAAAAAGAGTTTGATTTCTTGATGAATTAAATTGTGAAAAGCCGTCGCCTTACTTGTAATTCTTTTGACAATACCATTCTAAGAAGCAATCTATCTCTAAATATAACAGGTTGATGAAGTCTCATCTGATTCCCACGGATTACAGAAGGCCACAAATGAACAAAAATACCTCATTGCGAGATTTTTAAAATGCTTATACCAAAGATAATAAGTTTTTTTTTATTTTAAAAGAGCGATTATCATCATAGTTGGCATAATAAATTTCTATTTCAACAGCTCTTCCAAAACTTGTTATATGTTTGTTTCTCCAATATTGCAACTCTCTCAATTTTTTTTTCATTTTTTCATCGACGAATCAACATTCTAGTTTTTGAGAAGGTTTTGTTTTTAAATGAAACAATTTCTGTTGCAGTTAATCCTACATTTGATAAATTATATTCGAATTTTTTTAAATTAGACTTTTTTTGATTTTTTTTCGCTTCAACTTATTTCAAGGCAATGAGCATATGGACTAAAAATAACAAAGACTAAGAGTAAAAAATCACAAATGGTCAGATTGTTTGTGATAATTTTTTTTGAGGCAGGCTCAACATCTTTTTTTTGCAGCTTGGCTTTCGGTTTATGTTTGAGTTTCTTTCTGCAAACTGCACTATCAAAAATCAAAAGTTAAGGTCAAGTAATTCATCAATGATTACTTCTAGTTTCAAAATTGAACATCAGTTTTCAGACTTCACAACGAATTTTTAGAAAAAATAACCAATAATTCAGTTACCTCTAGATAATATAGCTTTAAAGGGATAGCACCAATCATATAAAAATCTTGATAATCAAATAGCGTTAAAATAATGTTATTTTTCTCTAAAGTTTAAAAATTGAATTAATTTTCAATCATTTAATATCAGTTTTTCACTGTTTCAATCATCTTCTGGCTCCGTTTTTTAAGCTACGTTTCTTATAATGTGCTAAAAATTTGTTCATTGAGTGTACAGTAATTTTTTTCATTGAGTGGTGCAAAAATAAATCTATTGTATGAAGTATTCCACTGGTAGTACCTAGAACTAGAAAAAAAACAAACGCTGTTTGTAAATACCGCCGTAAAAATTCAATTAACTGATGCCAAAGAATTTTATAATTTGATATTAAACAAAAACGTCGAATTGAGGTTGGTTGTTTTGAATGAAAGAACAGGACTGCTCATATCAAGGCAAAGCCTTGAATGTTCCGACTTTCTTCTAAGGGAATGATGAGTAGTGTTCACTTGTAAACATTGGATAACATTTTCAGAAAAAAATAATAAAGTTATTAAAGACTATTTGCGATTTTTTTACTCACCCCCCACACGCCATGTAAAGGACAAATGATTATTGGCATATAGCAAACTTTTAATTACATCAGATAGCATACCTCAATTCAACTTGGAACGACTTTTAAGACGGATAAAGTGTCCGCTTACGCGTTACTAACACTAAAAATATCGCTCTTTAATTGTGCCAAATTGGCATTTCTTAAACCCTCACTACTTCACGAAAATGATCACTGGTAAAATACGTTTCAAAGTTTAGCTCAGAACAACAATATTTTCTGAATGATAAAAAATGTCAAAAGGTACTAGTTAAAAAGTCGAAATTAGTCTGGAAAAAAAGCACTCAGAGCACAAATATTCCGTCACTTTCTTCGAAAGTCGGAACAATAAAGTTTAGACAGTCAAGGCCAGCTTAGACTCCTTTTCATTATCAAGAGGTGAATTTTGCATATTTTCCTGAATACTTGCAGACACAAAAAAAAGCCATATTTTAGGTAAGTCTTTACCTGATACAGCATATGTGCAATTGTGATAGTGGCTATTGAAAATTTTTTGTGTTTCCATTTTTTATTACTTTCTCTGACCAGCATTTCAATCAGTAAATTTCAGTTTAATCAGTAATGAAGTTCAATACTTCTCAACTTTCCAAAGATACTTTTTTAAAATCTGTAACTAGGCCAGTTTAAAACTGAAAGAAATCGCTTGCAGCAAAAAAAATCAATTCATTTTCAGGTTAATTTAGGAAGTCAAGTACACATGTACAGTTTATGTAAAGTCTTCTGATTTTTTTTCTGCTATATTTTGTCCATTATTTCAGCCGATTCATTTAGAAACTAGACGGCCATTTAATTGAGTGAGCAGCTGCTTTTCAACACGCCTCTTCACTTTAAATAATTGCTCAATTTTGGTCAAATTTTCAATGGCGATAAAAAAGTGCATTTATATTACACGTAACAGGTGGATAAAATTTGTACAAAGAAATATTTGTCTGTCAAAAAATCGACATTCAATTTCGCTACTTTTCTACTTGAAAAAAAAAATGGCAATATTTACTTTATTTAGTCAAAAATAAAGGTTGCTCCAATATTTATCGCTCGTACTTATAAAATTTTAACACTTTTTTCGCTTCACAAGAAAAAACTTAATCGCTCGGTTGAACTATTTAATGCTAAGTTTAAATTTAGTTACACTTTTCTTGTATAAAAATCTACAATTTCTGAGTTAGTTAATTTTGAACTAAATCTGTGAGTCAAGGATCAGTTTAAGTAGGAAAACAATTTGTTTGATTTTGGTTTATGGTCGCGATTTATGATACTAGATTTACTTTTTTGTCTGCCTTGAAAAATCATAATCGTTTTAAATAGAAAAACGGAATATCCCAATGACGAGATTTTGCACTCATTTCTGATGATGTATGCTATTCAACGTCATTTTTAAAAAGGAGTGAATCTTCATTCTTTTATATGAAAAGAAAAACGTCCCTGTGCGTTGTGGATTTTTAAACCATTTAAATTATTCAATGAAAAATTCAGGAATGAACACGTGTTATAACTGTTTGTTCTAGTTTATGCTACTGTCAGCATCACGCAATTTTGACACTGGTAGTGAAAGTTGAACTTCAATGGTTTCAATAATTTTTGACAACTTAAAATTTTCAAAATTTTGCATAAAAATTGAAGCTTCAAAAAGGCACATATTGTTTTGTAAACAATTATGAATAGCTCAAATTAGCAATCGAAAACTCAGAGGAAATTTCTTGTGAATAAATTTTCGCGCAGAACTTCCGATTAAAAAATCTTTCGAATTTGTTCCTTATTTTTGCAATCTGACGAATATTTCAAATTTATTTTTATTGATTATTAATTATTACTTAAAGATGACAATTAGCAATTTTTTATCAACTTGTCAATCGTTTTAAATGTGTTATCTCTTGTTGCTTTATTTTTTCACGCTGGTTTAATAAGTAACATTGTTTATAAGCAAACTTGCTGAAAAAGTAATCACATTTTACATTTTTATTCGAGAGAATCGAAAGTTGTTTTTCTTCATTTTAGCGGATTAATTTTTGACCACAGTCGTAAAAGTTAAGAACGAACATGAACATTTTTTCACTATATGATTTGTAGCTTGAAGCTAGAAAACATCATAAAAAACATACCAACAAAAATGGTCGAAAAAGCCAACAAGTTTTTTCGAAAAAATGTGCCGATTAATCTTTCAAGCCGTAGTTAAGTACAATTAAACACCATTTAATTAGCTCAAATTCTGTCGCTCAAGTTTTTACAGGTGTGCAAAACTTGCCAGTTATGTGATATTTCTAAAACTTACACGTTGCTTATTGTTATATGTTTTATGATTGCCTCAGTTTTTTCTAACCACAACATGTTTTTCAGTTTTAGCGACTGCTTTTTGTTGAGATAATGAGACAGTTGAGATATATGGTTATTGAATTTGAAGTTCGTTATTTTTAAAAGCCTTAATTAGAGTGGCTAACTTCACAGTTGTTCTCGCTTCGTCTGGTTCAAATCATCCACCCCAAGAAACAAACTCTTTTGTGATCGACCAAGTTGAAGCCATCGCCATCAGTTCATGGAAGCATCGAGTTCCTGGAATCAGTTTTTGGACATCAAAACGACGGTTTTTGGTAGACAAAGTAGACAAACTTAACATTTGCCTAAACTTTGCGAGCATCGTGCGCCGATTTATCCGACAATGGAACTTCGATTACTTCTTTTTGGAATTTTGACTTGCTTCTGGCTGGCTGGTACAACTGCAATTGATTCAGGTGAATACCACATAAAAATTTTTTATAAGAGTCTTTAGGAAAGAATTAAGCTCCTTGCTAAAGACTTTGCAGTCGACAATTCGTAACAGTTTATTGAGCGGCAACCACTGATTTACGCGCCCTAGTTCCATGAAACTAAATCAACTTGCTGAAGTTTTAGTGTTTAAAAAAGCTTAAAATATGTCATCACAAAACAACTCTAATGGGGAAGAAATGAAAAAAAAACTTGTAAATATGATTTAATTGGAAAAATTTTAAAATATTTTTTCTCAATTTTCATAGGAACCAACGTCTACAAAAAGCAAAAAATATAAGCAATTTAGATGCAACTTCGAAGACAAAATGGACAAACAAAAGGGACTACAATCAATTATAATCGATTATAATGGATTTTTGTGCAAAACCAATTAACTAGAAATTTGAATAAAAAAATGGATTATAATCAATTATAATCGATTATAACTGTATCGAAAAATAGACGAATAAATAGTCAATTATAATCGATTATAATGGATTATAATTAATTATAATTTGATTTTAAAAAGAGAGATCATCATCGATTATTAATTGATTAAAATCGACTGTTTCTTAATTTTAGTAAGACTGGTACTAAAATCGTAATATAATCGATTATCAATGCTTGAAACTGGATGCGGGTATTTATAATACAAAGAGTGTGATTTACAAAACTTTTGATTTAATTCAATCGTATAACTAAAAAAAAATTGTCGAAAACTCGAGGTTCTTGGCTGCTCGACATTTTTCAACGCACAATGAGGTACTACAAACAAAAATCAGAATGATTTGAGTGATATAATGAGCTTAACTTGAAAATTTGAAAATTTCAGAAAAAAATTATTGAAAATTGAAAAAATTCGACTAATAAAAAACTAAATGCAATTACCTGAAACGAAATGAGAAAGAAAAACAAAAAACACTAGTGTTTGAAGTTTAAATTACCGTCTTCCAAAGCCAAAATCCAAGAGACAAACTCTGCTGAAAACTTAAGCTTGAAACAGATTTCGCTTGCAGCCATTTGGTTTTATTGGGTTTTTGAATTCTATATAGTAATTTTCTTGCAAAAATAATTTTGTTTGCAAAACTATTCTTGCAGTATATTGCACGACAACATGATACATTTGCTACGTTTTGCAATCATATAACAGTTATTTAAGGGTGATTACTATTATTTTGAGTTTAACGGTTTATTCTGTTTTTGATTTAGACCACTCAAAAATTCCAGCTTCGAAAGTTTTTCCCTAATTTTTTTTGCGATCACTTGGCTTCGTTTTAGTTAAAAAAATGTACAATTGCAACCAAGCAAGCAGTTTCTTTGTTGCTGCATTGCTCTTGATTTTTAAAACGCAGCTGCTTTAAATCGGAGTTTTTGTGCAAAAAATATACTTTCAGGTTTCGCAGCGGAATAAAAACTCTTTACTCATGTACCAGCTTTACCTAGTCTACCAGCTTTATAGCGGAATAAAACATTACCTAAATTTATACCTAACACACATAGCGGAATGAAAACCTACTTTAACAATTTACCAATCGCCATATATTTTTCTTTTTTGAAATTCGAAACTGCAAGTGTTTTCCAAAGACAAGTCAGATTTTTTTCTGATTCTTTGCTTTCATTGACTCTTTTCCAACTGTCTGTAGGCTATGTTTTGAACTACTTTATTTTGTTATTTACCAAATAAAAAAAGTACGGCTTGCTTACAAATAAGTTATTTTGAAAGATTTTGCGGGGAAAATCTGATTTTTGAATCCATCTTTTAATAAGAAAGCATCAAGAAAAGGGACGCTTCTCAGAACTTAACTGCAAAGATTGTCCAACATCTCGTTTTGGCAATACATGGTTTGAGGGTAAAACGCAGGCAAAAAAAAGCGGCACATGACACAAACAAATCTTCATAAAACGACCATTTTCTTCAGATTTCTGAGCTTTTAGCAGATTTTTTTCAAATCGTGCAGACACTTAATCAAAAAGAAAATTTTTTTAAAAGGTCGTGACTTTGATCACATGATCAATATTTTTGTTCCGACCATTATGGGAAGGAACTTTGTTTTCGGGTGTTTTGTTTTTTCTTTTGGTCTTTTTTTTTGTTTTCCACGCAATATCAAATAGCACAAATAGTCATCGGAAAGAGTTTACTGGCATACCAAACTAAAACCCTATCAGTCGTTGATTTTTAGTTCAAGTTTGAGCAATTAATGCGATCGAGTAACGTTCATTATATGAAAAAATGGTATTTTAAGTTGGTTTTAGGCTCACAAAAGTTAATTGAAATAAAAAAAAACTAGTTTTGAATGTTTCATTCAGCGTTTTTTTAACAATAAAGTTTTTTTTGTTTTTTTTTGTTTTCTAATCCTTTTTCGAAGGAAAATTTTATCAAACTTGCCTAATTCACCAACCTATCAGAAGAAAACAGAAGAAAACAAGAGAACAAACTTTTTTTTTCTAAATTGTTTTATGAAAATAGTCAGAACATTCTGTGCTACTTGCACAGCAACCCGCTATCCTTGTTATCTACTTAAAATTGAAAGAACCAACTCGACAAAAAACGTGGAAAGAAGGACATTTTTTCAACTATATTACTTGGGTTTGTTTTTTTTTCTTTAAAACTATTTTCAGTTTTCACAGGATGAGGGAGAATCCAGAATCTAGCTTCTATGGCTAATAACTTTTTTGACCCGTAATTTTATATTTCAAACTGCTAATTTTTTTTCTCGATTTTTTCAATCAATAAATGTTCAGACCGTTTCTCTTTTCCTCAAAACGTTTTCTGGATTTTTGCAGCTCGAATCTAAGCTAAAAAAAATTTGATGATGGTTTTTCTCACAACACATCTTTTTTAATAGTGTTTTTCATCTGTCGTACATTGATTTGCCGAGGAAAACACAGGGGAGCCAAAAGTTATAAAACAGCGACCACGCCCATCCCCCGCATTTCCTCATAAACTCCAGCATTTAATTTCTTATTCTGATTTTTTGCTTTGTTTTAAGGTTTTTCCAGGGTATCCAGAGACTTGATGGACAATGGAGTTGCATCGAAAGGACCGATCTTCACTCTACTACCAAAGAGCAGACGCTATTTTTTGAACACCCTCGGAACTACACTGGATTGCATGGCTACATCAGAGTCCAAACTGACGGTTGGTTTTAATTGTTGCAATCAGGGGCGGATTTAGAGGGGGCGGGAAATGGACGCCCCCCCCCCCCCCCCCCCTCAGGAATTCGACCCCTTGCCGACCCAAAGAGTCCCCCCTTTGTACTATTTTGAGATAACCATATTTGGTGACGGACCCTAAAAATTTTCTAAAGGCGCCTTCAGCATCAATATATACTAATTTTGAGGGGGGAGCGCGCGAAAAAAAAACGCGATTCTTTGGTAAAAATTTTCCAAAAAGTGCCTAAAAACGCCTTTTTTTGGCCTGTTTTTCAAAATTTTGCCTGCGGCGCAGAAATTTTTACCCCAACCGGGCGCGGGTCTTTTTACCGGGCGCGGGTCTTTTTACCGGGCGCGGGTCTAAAAAGACCGGGCGCGGGTCTTTTTACTGATTTGGAAGAGCTCGGAAAATCAATTTGATCGACCTAAAAAAAGGTCGAAAAAATTTTTGAAATTTTTTTTGAAAATCCGCCCCTCCCCCCTCAAGAAAATCATAGATCCGCCCCTGGTTGCAATTGTCGTTTTTGTTCGCAGTGGGAAATTTTTTGTAGGTCAATTAATCAATTGGTGTTAGGAGATCGGTGTTAGATTTAATATCTCTTTAAATATTCCGCCCCACTTTGATACCTTGTAACGAATTGCCACCCTTATAGAGAAATAATTCAATAATTCAACTGTTAAGCATGTGCTATTTTTGTACCTAGCAACCAATCTACCCATTCTCTTGAAAAAGGGAGGGGGATAGCTAAAAAGAACAGCGTGATATGTATATATCTTGCTCATTATGTAGTATAACTGGCTGACCAAATCGGAAATGGCGAGTGAAATCTCTGGCTACCGGGAGACTTTACGCAACCACAGTCTCTACTTGCCCCCCTTTAACCCAGACATGTGGAGGGGGGATGTACACGACACTGACTACTTCTGCCAAGTGGGAGGGGGGACATTTGGGTCCATTATCAGCCACCCTATCAGAGTTACTGCATGTGAGTTTTGAACTGTTTTTATTCTCATTTCAAACCCTCGAACACTTTAATTGTAACGAACAAAGTTTCTTCCTTTCCTTTTCTTCATACTTCTCGTAAATGCTCTGCGGACTGAGGGGGTCGAATAGCCCTTCAGGGAATCGACCATCTCACCAACCAAAGAGTGCCTCCTTTGATATTATTTTGTAACATCCGTTTTTGGCCGACCAACTTAATTTTTTTCTGAAGGCACCTTCGGCGCCAATGCATGCTAATTTTAAAGGGCGTGAACGCCGAAAAAAACGCAATTAAAAAAACGCACGCCCAAAAAACGCGATTAGAGGGCGCGGACGCCGAAAAAAAAGTTTTAATAGTGTTGTGGGAGAACTCGGAAAACGGAAAATAAATTTGCTCGACCTAAAAAAAATGCAATGCTCCGAAAAAAAAAGGACCTAAAAATTAATTCAAAAAATATAAAAAGTTCGAAAAAAATGCGACTGTTTTTCTGTAAGTTGTGCAACTGAATCAGTTTAGTGATCTCGTCAGAACAGCGCTTCACAGTGACTGCAGATGACGTCATAGCCCCAATAGGGTCCAATGTCAGAATTCCTTTCTCCATATCCCCTCTGAGGGTCATGGATTTCATCAGTACAATTCAATGGCTGCAGAAACCAAACACGAACAGTAAGTTAACAAAACAACCCCCACCCATCCCTCCCGTCTGTCAAAAAGCAGATGAACAGGCCCACTAGAAATGATCATAAATGGTGTCATGTTGATTCACAATTTTCCAACAATTCAACTATTGATCAATTATTCTATTGATTAAGAATAATGTTCTAGTCAAGTGAACTATGTAGGCTAGAAAAATACAAAAAGAGGCTAAAAAGCAGATGAACAGGCCACTAGAAATAATCAAAAATGTCAAATTTATCCCCCAATTTCCTGCAATTAATCAATTATTTTATTAATTAAGAAAAGTGTTCTAGTTACACAAATTGAACAGGTTAGAAGTTGTGATTGTGTCGCCCTGAATAAAAAAAGTGAAAAAGGCTAAAAAGCAAAAAAAAAATTAATGCGAATTAAACACGATCGAACAAAAAAAATGCTTTGACTATTTTTCCTGCAAAAACTAAAAATGATGATTTTTTCTAAAAAAAATTACAAGTTGATGAAGTGATCGCATTCGCATCATTTCATTTCCAATTCAACAACTGCAAAACGTAGAATGACAAAATTTGAAGCCATCAATCAAGACTTGATCTGCTGAGTTAACTTTCAGGGCTTTAATTTACTAATTTATGGTCGGTGTTCTTAGAAAAGTGGAACTTGTCTGTAATTGGTAAGTTCGAGTTAAGAATAGAGTTTTGGGCGTGGCTTCATCCAATCGCACTGTTTTCTTTTGTTCACTCTAGATAAATTTTTGTTTACTTCTTGAGAATTCAATTATTGCACAGTGTTTAGTGAATTCTGGTTTTATTTCCCTTTTTTTAACTATTTTAAGTCTCGCTTCTCTGTATTGAAGGGCTTCTTCCGATAGATGATAAAGTAATTAAAAATAGCACAAAAAATTGAACAACATAAGCAAAAAATTGTTAATGAACCAAAAACCTATACGGAAAGCGTTTTTTTTTCTGATATGCTACTTTATAGTTTAAATTGGTACCAGTTTAAATTGGTAATTATATAGCCTAAAAGTTTGTAGTCTGTAAATGGTTTATGATGTCAAGAGTATTATAGGAATTATATCTTTTTCTGTCTATTTCTGCGACTTAGAATCTTAAATGAGTTTTATAAAAAAGAGGCTATTTTTTATGTTCAGTTTTTTAAAATCTTTTAGCTAAATTGAAGTTCCACTTGACCGATTCCTTCAGTTGTAGGCGTTTCTGGAAAATTCCGCAAAACACTACTAAAAATTCAGTTTAGTTCATGTCATCACCGACTGTAAACAGAATTTATTGACCATAACGCGCCGCATGTTTCAACTCGGGAGAATTTTGTCATGCCTGTTTTTTTTACTTGTTTTACTGCTTTTAACTGTAAGGTTGAATTTTAAATTATTTAACATTTGCTCATCTAAACTGTAAAGTTCAAAAAACTTCTCAATCTTCTCCATAATATGCGATGCATGTAGTTTTCAAGGTGTGTTATTTTGAAGCAACTCCTAGGTTTATGTTTAAACTTTTGGAGATCGTTGACAGCTTTTGAGAATATTATTTGTCTGAATTAAAAATTGCAATTTGTGAACGTTAACTGCATCCATGTTTGCCATTAAAAATAATCAAAACGCCCATAAATTGTAAAACGTTTTTCAATATGAAAGATTCATATTGATAAAACTCATAATTGTGCGCGAACAATTTGAATATATATATTCATTTTTTACTTTCTGAGGCGTTTTTTTTGTGATTTAACTAGAATTTGAATGAACCAAAAAATACCCAGAATTTCTATTGATGCTTGCAATAGCTCTAGTTTTTGGCCATAGCTACTTGTAGTCACATTTTCTGACTGAATACAGAGCGATTAACATGTAATTATTCTAAATTTGCGTCATAAAATGTTAAGATGTGTACAAACTATGTACAACTAAACTAAGATAAGAACAAATAAAAAATATGTTGAATTAAATAGTCTGTTCTGAAATTAATTTGAACAGTGGACTGAAAGAGCACTGGTCGATTTATGATGGCGTTGAATGGTATCTGATCAAAACTGAAGGTCAAGGAATAAAAAACTAAAACAAATCACAACATTTCTCAAAGGGAAAAACTTAAAATCGACAGTTAAAAAAATACAAATTCAATCTACACACATTTCACCTTCAAAGTAGGTTGAACAAAAGTTTTAAACTGCACATAAGCAAAAATTGAATGAAGAGAAGGAAATATTGAATCTCAATTAAACTTGGTTTATACAGGGTTGAGCAGAGAATTTTAATTGAAGTTTGAGTCGAAATCTTCTTCTGTGTTTCTCAATTCGGTGTCAATAATTGACGACATAACGCTCACGCTGTCTGATTTTTTTTTTGCTGGTTGGTGCTCTTGACTGAATTCCAGAGGTTATTCCGGCGGGAGAACTGGTCAAGGATGTCTCTAGGGAAGCAGACTGTGATATTTCCGATGGAATTGGTTTGGATGAAAACCAAGTTAGCGTTGTCTCACTTACTAGCATAGGTTGTCATAAGGGTCAAAAAATCTGAAGGTGAACTATACGTAAAAATGCTGGAGAAGTGATGGCTGTGGGCTGTTGTTCAAAACTCTAACTGTGGGGCTCAAGATATTTATTTTCGGGTTTCTTGTTCAAGATATTCCTTTGCGGGTACCTTATCTACAAATCTGCGTTCTCCGTGAAACTTATGGGGTCCTGTTTTTCGTCTTGGTCTGGAGGTCCTTGCTTGTTTGGAGATAGGAAAAATTTTTTCTTGAGAGCTGTCTTTCTGAATAGGGTCTAATCCGTTCTTCTAACGGCTGATGACTGTTGGTGACCACCGGTCCGCTCTAATGAACCGAACCTGTCTCAGTGACCTGCTCACTACCTTTAAAACTCAAGTCATTGCAATCTGTCAGTATATCATGCTACATAGGGGCATTGTTTTCAGAAACATTGTGGAAATAATCGTCAGTTAGCCCATCTCAAGAACTAGTGTTTAGAGAGGAAGAGGAACCCGAAAACAACTGGGAACTGACTGGTGCCTGAAGTTGGGATCGTTCTTCTTGAGCACGGGTTCGTTCGAAGTGGTGTTGTCCTTGAGGCCTTCGTAGGTCAGGACAATTTCCTTTTTCCGGCTAAACTAGGTAATGAGTTAGAGTCGTTCCCCATGAGTGCCGATTTTATTAATATATTCGAAGGTCCAGGAATCATCTTTCCTTTGAAAGCTAAACCTGATCTTCGTAAAATTTGACCGTTCTCGAGCGTGACTGTATGATAAAAAAAAGTTGTTGATGGCTTCCTTGACGTGGTTAAAATATGGCTGCCCACTTTTTCAATAAGCGGCTTTTCTGTATAAATTCCCTATGGAAAAAAACTTCTACGCTGACTTTCGACTTAGCTGAGATCCTAAAATAGGGTTAGTGCGGTTCTCTGCGATGTTTGAGGCCAGAGGAAGGTTGTCCTGGGACACCGTAGAGGGATCTAAGTCTGCGTCTACATATCCGTCTTCTGCCTCATAATGCGGTTTCCAGCTCTTGGCCCGAGGGTCATACATGATCAATTTTCTTTGATGATAAGGTGTATGAAAAGAAATCAGGTTTTTCTATCTAGTGTTAGGATCCGGTTACAGAATTACTCAAAGGCATAAAAAAATTGTAAGATACACATGTACAAAAAACCAACTAGATATGTACAAAAACCATGTAAAACCAAACTAAGATAAGACAAATAAGAAATATGTTGTAATAAAATGTCTATTCTAAAAGTAACACGAACAGTAGAATGATCGACCACTGGTCAGTTCTTGGTGATATTGCTTGGTTTTTAATCAATACCGAGAACCAATTGTTATAAACAATGAGAAACATTGAAAAATTAGCACAATGAAGTGGGTTGGATGAGCTTAATTAGCCTAGTGAAAACTCAGGGTTTGAAAATTTTAGTGTTGTTTTGAAAATTAGGTTTTCGAATTGAGCTGTTTAGAAAGCGTAATCAAAATTAATCATCTTAGTTACTTCTTTTTTAGCTTCGGAAAACTTCACCCTCTCAAAATTAGGAGGTAACTCAATGTATAACTAGCAAAATGTGAAAAATTTGTATTTTCTAACCTGCTTTGTTTGAATTAACAACAGAGTAAGATCTTTTTGACAATCTTTTTTTTTCAGGCTAATTTTTCAAGCTTAGAGTACATTTTTTACATCTATTTTTGTTCAGGCGAAAAGGCCGACCAATTACACGATGGTTCTCTGTTTGTGCGTCACGTGACCCGAGAGGATGCTCTGTCGTGGTACAAGTGTGTGGCCACTCATGACGTCACAGGGGCCAAAGTGCAGTCTCACGCCGACTTCGGAGGGGGGTTGAGAGGGGCTCAGATTATTGTGTCACGTAAGTTTCCAAAAACATAGAATAAATAGACTTGTTTTTCCTTCATATTTCGCAACAGTTGAAATAAAACTTTTAAATACTATTTTCTTTGGGAGCCATTTTTTTACACAAAATTTAGCCTTGATTCGAAAAAACAGCTTTGCTCAAGACATTAACTCAGTCTGGAATAAAAGAAATTAATACAGATTTGATAGCTCCTCTGCACTTTGCAGAAAGTGAAATTACTAATTATTACGCTTGCGATTAGCAAGCCCCATCAAATCGTAATTTGGACTTTTTAAGAATTTTTGGACTTTTTAATCGAGAATTTTTTCCATTGATATATTTTTTTCGTTTTTGCCTCCTACCTTTCAATGCTATATGTTTGTGCGGTATCGCAGGTGATCACCTCTGTGTTAGATTTATTATCCCAGTGTGTGTAATTTTTAAAATATACTATTCATTATGATTATTATTACTATTATTATTCCGACTTTCGAAGAAAGTGCGGAATTTTTATGTTTGGTTTTTTCATTGAGTCTTTTTTTGTCTTTTTGACTAAGCATTTTTTACAGAATTTTCTCAGACCATAAAGTGAAATATATTGTTCTCTGAAGTTTAAATTTAGAAAAAAAGTTTCACCTGTGATCAGGGGCGGATCTAAGATTTTCTTGAGGGAGGGGGGCGGATTTTCAAAAACATTTTGAAAATTTTGTAGACCTTCTTTTTAGGTAGACCAAATTGATTTTCTGAGCTCTCCCAAAGCACTACAAAGACCCTGCTTTGGCCGAAATTTTTGAAAAAACAAGCCAAAAAGCGTTTTTAAGCACTTTTTGGAAAAGTTTTTACCAAAAAATTGCACTTTTTCGGCGCGCAATTTTTTGACAATTTTTAGATCAAAACTTTACCCTCTCATAATCGTTGGTAAAATTTTAGAACAAGTTTTTTTTTATGGCTGACTCTTGGGTATCTGGTTGTATTCATTTTCAGAGGGACAGGCTTAGTTCGAAAACGACAATTCCAATTGTGTAATTTATGAGTTGATTTAGAAATATCAAAGAAAAGCAGACCACCTCAACCCTATTTCAAATCAGTCGCCTTATCCGTGAAACTCGGCGAGACGACTCGACTAATCTGCGCCACCCATGGAATACCATCGGCCAGCGTATTCCAATGGAGTCAAGGCGACAAACACCTCCCGGAGGAGACTGATGACGTCATTGATTGGATTGCGTCATCAGAGGATGAAGTGGAAGTAGTGTTGAAATGTGAGGCTTCGAATGAATTCGGATCGACCTATGTGAACTTTTTCATCACAGTTAGAGGTGAGACTTCATTTATTATCAGAAATTTATTTGTTGGAATTTTGAATTAATTGCATATTAAAATTTTCTTGATGACTGTTAAAAAATTAAAAAAATAAATGTTCACTAAAACGCAATATTCCATCGTAAAATTTTTCATGTTTTTAATTGTATAAAAGTAATTTCCTAGTTTTTTGCTGCCAAAAACTCCATAACAAAATTTTTTTAGTTGAGTTACGAATCACAGCCATCCCCAAAGTCCAGAAAACAGAATTAGGCTCCTCCTTGTTAATCAACTGCAGCTACTCAGGACACCCAATCAGACAACTCACCTGGTTCCGAAATGGAGTAGAGGTTAAACGGACTCTGTTGACCTCCAGAGGTCAAAACTATGACGTCATGAGAATCGGATACGTGGAAATCGGCGACCTTGGATCTTATCAGTGTCAGATATTCGATGGTGCTGAGTCATATGCGTCTGCAGTTAGCGAAGTGATTTTGAAAGGTGAACTTATTTTAGCCATAATTAATTTTTAATTATCTGGGATCAACCTTAAAATCCCCCCCCCCCCCCCCCCCCCCCCTCAGTGGCGTATTGTAAAATGTCCTCCCCAATCCCCAAGCATGTATTAATTCTGAAAATTAGTTCTGCTCTAAATATGTATTACCTACAAACGCGAATAACGAAAATAATTTGAAACTTTTTGTACAGTTTGTGTTTTGATGGGCTCCAATTTAGTGAAATCGACGTTTTAATTATGTTTCGCCAATTAACTCTTTTTTGTAGGTAATATAACTTTCTCTTCAGCGTTATCTTATAAAAAAAGTTTGTACTTTCTCCCCTCTAAATCGAGGATTTGGGGGTGAAACTTTACTATTGATCCAATATCTGATTTTGTCTTCTTAAATCTTTTAATTCTTGAGTTTTTTTGATTGAGGACTACTGTTATCTATTAATTAGGCGTTCCAATGAATCATGTACGGTTTTTTAGACTTGCATAATTTTCTTATTTTTTCGGGAAATGCTCCAAGGTACTTTATATATTAGTTCGAAATACCACCTAACATATATGCTTTTATAGAGGTATTTAAACTTCAGCCTTCTTGAATTCAATATAAAGTTTCTCTCTTTGTTGATTTTGTCAATATTTCAGATAAAAAGGCTTCCATCATTTCCTCGTTTGGAGAGAAAGTTGCCGAGCCCGGTAAAGATTCAATCCTTCTTGAATGTCAAGCATACGGAAATCCGTCGCCTTATTTTGAATGGTACCACAACGAACAGAAAATGGACACTCTTGGAGTTCAAAATAAAGGTCAAAAATTTGTCGAAGTGAGTCAAAACGTGGCGCCTTTTACTGTGTCGAGTAGACTGAGTTTGAACCCGGTTGACCTTTGGGACTCGGGGGTGTACACGTGTAAAGCTGCGAACATGTTCGGATCGGGAGTGGCTTCGAATTATGTCCATGTCACAGGTAGTTTTTTATGTTACTAAGTTTTGATTCAAAAATTTATAGCAAAACATTTCAAATTTTTCATCGCCAAAAGTTTTTGCATGCTTTGTTTTTGCCAAAAAAGTAATCAAAATTCAGACGTTCTTCAGAAAACTAGTTAGCTGAGCAACTTTTTATCTTTTTTATGCAAAATGCAGCTTGAAATATGCATTTTCTTTTAGTTGGTCTCTATCAATGATTTCAGACAAATTATTGTTCCCACTTTTTTCAGACTATATCGGTCTTAAGACTTAAACTAACACTAAGGTCTCGTTTCTTGATAACAATCATAATAAATTGTTTTCAGGCTAACATACCAAAAATACTTGTAATAAAACTGCATTTTCAACCATTAAACACTAGCCTGAGAGATAGTCATGGGATCTTTTGGTCCGGTTTTTGTTTTCTCTGAGCGGAAAAACTATTTTCCCCTAATTTCCAAACTCCGATTTTCATCGGTGTTGAAGTAAACTAAAAACACCCGAGTTTTTTAAGGAAAATTCCGAGTGGTTCTTTCTTCTACATTTGTTTTCTGTCAAGTGTGTTTCGTCTTTTAGGTCCGCCAGATGTGATGCCGATGCCAGACCGTGTAGTGCTGGCTACTGGGGACACCAGACTCCCCTGCTATGTTGCCGGACATCCTATAGAGCAAATCAACTGGTAAGACACGCTAAGTTGTTCTATTGTTCTGACCCCACGAATGGGAAAAAAATTATTGTTTTATTGTTCTGACCACGTTTTATTGTCCTGTTCTGTTCTGAACCGACGTTCAGTTCTGATCCAGTTTTATTGTTCCGACTACGAATGGAAAAAGTTTTTAGATTCAGGTGCTGCTCCCTAAATGTCGAGCAGCAAAAATAATTGACTCGTAGATTTGAATGATATATCATACTACAGTCCTTTGTTTGATGATTTGAGCTGCAAGGAAAAGTTTCAAAACGTGCTTCAATTCGCATTATTATTGGATTCAATTTACGATCCGCTACAGTTTTTAGTGGCGTATGTGTAGTGTTTTTTTTCGGTTGAAAACTATAATTTGTATTTTTTTTGTTTGTCCAGGTACCACAACGATAGGAAGTTGCCCTACGTGTATAGACAGACAGTGTCTCCCAACGGGACGCTCGCTATCAGAGACACAGCAGCTGAAGACGCGGGGCTGTACAAGTGCGAGGCCAAGGGAGGGGGATACATTGACTCATTCACCTTCAAACTCAGCGTCAAAGGTCAGTTTAGAGCCACTTCAAGGTCAAATTAGAGCTACACAAGGTCAAATTAGAGCTACTTAACGTCACATTTATACTACTCAAGGTCACATTTATGCTACTCAAGGTCACATTGATGCTACTCAAGGTCAAATTAAAGCTACTTAGGGTCACATTTATGCAACTCAAGGTCAAATTCAAGCTACTTACGGTAACATTTATGCTATTCAAGGTCACATTTATGCTACTCAAGGTCAAATTCAAGCTACTTAGCGTAACATTTATGCTATTCAAGGTCACATTTATGCTACTCAAGGTCAAATGACCCACTCTTTAACCCTACGATCATGTAATAGGTAGCAGTCGGGTCTTTTCAATTGACGTCTTTGGTAGTTTGGAAATTGGATCATAATTCTTGGATATCATTGATTCAATTAAGTATATTCTAAACGATAAGCTTATTTTCATTTTAAAATAAGTGATTTTCAAGTTTTTTTGGGTCATGTAAAAGTAAAAACCCGTTATATCAAAAATGTATACTTTGAACGAAAGTTCTTTTTATGGATAATTTTTCAAGATTGTTCATAATTTTCAAAAATACATATTTTAAAATCAAAAGTGTACATTCTGAACAAAAGGTCAATTTTTGAATAATTATTGAAGATGATCCAAAATATGGTTCATAATTTTCACGAGCAGGAGTCATCTTAGCAGAGAAGAGCGTCAGTTACAGTTCAATCGAGGAGCGGATATTTTTGCCACTTATCATCTGGTTCACTTTTAGAAAACTTTTTCTTTCTTAACAAAAAATGACCTTAAAATAGTTGACTTTTAAATATTTTAAGTTCACTTCTCAAAAGTTCACTACTGGAGCTCATTTCTCGGAAACGTCTCGTTTTTTTCAGTAATCTAATAAAAAGATTGATTTTTTGTTTGCAGTGGGACCCCAAATAGTGCCGTTTCAAATGGAAGATTCCGTTCTGAACGAACGACTGGGTGTTGTGTGTGCAGTTAGCCGAGGAGACACGCCAGTCGAAATCAACTGGTTCAAAGACGGAAAACAAGTTGTATCCGGAACAGATCAGTAGTGAGTAGAACGCGCAAAGGCTTTTTATTTAGAGTTTTTCCATTGCTTAATTTTATTTATCCTTTTGAACTCATAAAAGCTTTATTTTATTTACAAAAAATAATTTAGTTAGTAATAATCAGATGAAGATTTTTACCAATTCGCGGCGACCTTCACAATTAAATGTTTTTTTTCTGAAAGAAAAATAGTAACTCAAAACGCAGTCAAAACTTCTCAGCTTCTCGGGGGGGGGGGGGGGGGTGGTTCATGGGAGGGGCCAACTTTTTAAAGACCTACATCGAGAAGAGAAGTAAAAGTACATGTTATCTAGACTCTGATTTGGAACCAAAGAATAGTCTAGATAAAACATAGACAGTTCTTACAGGAATGTTCAATAGCCACGCCACAATGAGTAAAACAGATAGTACGTTGGTTCCTCTCTTTCTAATATCTAAACAATTTCAAAAAAAAGCAGAGACCCGGGTGGACCAAAAATTTTTATCTTACAGTTTCCATATCTGATAAGTTTCTTGTCATATATTTGCATACAATTCCATACGTATAGAAAATTCTATAAAACCTCTATGATAAAGATTTTCCATAAAAGGAAAATGTAAAATTAGAAATTTCCCATATATGAAACTATTATGACTAGAAACTTGTCTTTTATAAAAAATAGTATGATTGACACTGTGATACACCACTTGCAAAACAATTAACAAATAACACGGCAGCTAACCCAAAAAAGGACGCAAGCCCGAGCCGAACAAAATAAGAAAAATTTGAAAAAAAAAATCATTTTTTTAAAAACAAAAAAATTACAGACAGGTTTTTCTTCAAAACAAAACTAAAACATTTGCAACAGTTGCTTTGAAACCTTTCCGATATCACAAAAACATTTCATTACAAGACAACGAACAGAAAAAAAAACGAAAAAAATGATTTTTTAAATAAAGGCAAAAAATAGCTTGAAAAAAGACGATCAAACTATTTTTATAAAATTTCATTTTTTTTCTAGATATGAATGATAAGCGGCCTTATAGAGCATTGGGATTCATTTATTGAGCCAATGGGGTTCATATACCGATATTAAGTCCAGGCAGATTTTGGCTTTTAAAAAATTTGACAACTTTTTTTTAGTATCGTCATAAGCATAAGCGAACAGAACTCCTCTCACAATCAGTTTCGTTGAATGCAATAGTAGAGATTCTATGACAAAAAGCTCAAACAAGTTATTCAGGTGCTTCATGTATGAAAATTTAATGATGAGCGTTTTTTCTTTCCATTTTTTTTTTTCATTTTCCAAACTGCTTTTTATTAAAGCGCCATATTAACGCATAGTTCTTACATAAAATTTAAAAGTTTCTTCAAAAAAATTGAAAAAATTTATTTCGCTTCTATGGAAAAAAGTTATCGTACAACTTTCATATTTGAATTTTTTTTCATTTAAAAAAAAAACTTGTTTTTGACGACGAAAGCGCTTCCAGTGAGCGATAAACGTTATTGCCTAACTTGAAATTTTCTGAAAATTGTTTCCCAAGCATTTTTGAAATTTGATCAAAATCTTTGAAAAAGTGCTTGCTGTGCAGTTTTCATGAATTATATGATAACTTTTTCTTATTTTAAACTGAAAAGTTGTTTTCGATTTTAAAAAATGTTTTCATTCAGCAAAAATGCCAACATTTTCGAAAGATTTTTTGAAGTTTAATTTGTTCCGACCATTTAAAAAATGTGTTTGAACTTTGTATTTGGGTGTGTTTTTGTTTTTTTTCCACGCAAAATCAAGTATCACAAGTAATTATCAGAATACAATGGGTCGATTGATATATCATACTCAATATTTCAACCGTGATTCGAACGAAAACAAAAAATTCCCAATTTTTTTTCATAGTGTCGATAAAAACCGGTTTGAATTTTTTTTGATTTTTTGTCTAATTTCGAACTAATATGGTGTGAGCGTGTACGCTTACAATAGTTTATTTAAGCTAACTTGAAGCCATGAAAACTTAGTTGTACTCAAATAAAAATAGTTTTTGGAGTTTTCTGGCGTAATTTTGTAAACATAGGTTAAAAAATCCAAATATGTCTGCACAAAATTTTGACAAAAACGTTAACAATTTTTTAATTTTATTTTTGCAATTTTTTTGTTTATCTAGTCAATTTTCGTCAAAAACTGTTTTCTGACTGGCTTATTTACTATGATTGTCAAGTATGCCTAAGTTATTTTTTCGTTTAGAACTTTTTATAACACTAGACGGAAAAAAACGACACTTAATTGAAAAACATAATTGTTTTTTTTTACTTTTCTAAAACTGTGGTCGGAATAAACTGTGATACTTGCACATTAACCGGCTATTCTTGTTTTTTATGAAAAGTGCTCGCCATACAAGTCTCATGGGAGTATTATGACAAGCATTCTTTTCAAAAATCATCATTTTCATCATTTTTGGAACTTATATGAAAATTGTATGACAAGAATTTTTCCATACATTTGATGTATGAAATTGTATGATAATCATTTTCGGCGTATGGAGGTCAAACCGGGGACTTAGAAGCTTCGATATTTTCAGCGTGGTGCAATTCTTGCCTCCGACCACTTCCTATCTTTCAATAGAGCGAATCAGACCCCCACACGCCGGCAACTACACCTGTGTGGCTTCCAACCAAGTCGCTTCTGTTTCTTACACTGCAGCACTCAAAGTGAGCGTGCCTCCATACTTCACCGAGGAACCCAGAGATAGATCCTTGTTGCTCGGATCCGATGTTGAGATCCCTTGTGCGGTGTGGGGTACTCCTGCGCCCAATGTCACGTGGGAGTTTGCGGCTTATGGTAGGTGTCAATTTAATCAACCAAACCTTGGTGCTTGGGCAAAGTACAATTTTGGAAATTAAAATCGAGATATTGCGAAAACATGAATCTTTTTCTGAGGTTAAACAGTGTTTTGCAAAAAATTTGCTGTTGTCAATGTATCCGCAATTTTTTGTTTAAGCTATTATGATTGTTATTATTATTAACCTATTATTGCGAAAACTGTGTAGATTTTGCTTTATATAGACATTGTTCAGGTTTTTTGCCTGAAAAAATAGTGAGTACGCTTAGTTTTTTTTGTTCTACCCTGAGTTTTGAAAAATTTTGAGTGTAGACACAAATGATAAAACTTCGGGTTGTTAGGAAATCATTTTTTAGAAGGTGATTTGTTGGCCGACCAACTGTCAAACAGCAACTCCAAACCTAGATCGCTTAACTTCATGCCGCTTTCGGCGCTACCGAATGACCAAATCGGACGACTGAAGATTTCGAAGCGCAACGGATCACTGATGGTTCGCAACGTGTCTTTAACAATGCCTCGAAACCTGTTGTGTCGGGCATCTAATGGGATTGGCCGTGAAGCTGCAAAGAGTATCCAAATAAATTTAAATGGTTAGCTTCAGTTTTTCTTTTGATTTTTTGTTCATCATTTTTGAACTCCTAAAACCTTTATATTAGTTTTTTAAAATAAATCAAATGGAATAACTCAATAATAAGTTAACTTGAGTTTCAGAAAAAATTCATTGGCCCCTCGCTTGCAAAATTTTTGTTCTTTGAAACATGAAACTTCTTTATTTTATAGGAATATTTTTCAATATTCTTTATTTTTTAAGAAAGTGTTTCAATATTTGTAATTAGAATCGTTTTCAACATCCCGATTTATGGAATCTGATAGATGAACTCATCTTGTTTTTTTTTCAGTTCCGCCCTTTTTCTCCAAGCCGAGCGTGAACAAATCCTCTCTGATTGGACAACGAGACGAGTTGTCTTGTTTCGCGCTGGGCAATAAGCCAATGAGGGTTGATTGGTGGAGAAATGGGGAGAGGGTCTCCGAGTTGAGGAGTGGGGGCAAATATCAGACTCAGATGGTACAGATGAGGAATGGCACCATATCTGTAATTGAGGTAACATCCGGGTATTCTCAAAATAGATGTAGATTTATTTTTCAGTTATTGAATTATTCGAGTTTTTATTTTCATTTTTCACAAAAATGAAATTTTCCTTTTTCAGCAGTTTTCAAAATAAAGGTTTAATTAATTTTCGGGAATTTGGTTTTTCACAATAATGAAATTGTACTTTTTCAGCAGTTAACTCTATCAGTAGTTTCACACTGCGACGTCAATCTTACATTTTTTTATCAATGTTTCATTGGAGTTGATACAAAAAATAATATCTGCATCGATAGAAACTGGTTAAAAATGTGAGTCGTTGTTTTTGCTGATTTTATATGAGCAAAAGGTCAGAAGCAATCGCTCAAGGTTTCACATGAAGTCTGTTTTAGATTGATGGCGCTGATCGCGAGGACTCGGCTAATTATACTTGTGTCGCCAGCAATGCATATGGTTCATCCTCACGCAGTATCCTATTCAAGACTTTAGGTTGGTGTGAATACAGCTATATAACTGAATCTTCTGCATCAAAATTTAAAAAATTCGGTTTATTTTGGGAACCCAAGAGGGCGCTTTGCTCCTTTAGCTTAATGATAACAAGTCATGCTTCAAACAAATCACGATATCCGCAATTCTGTACATTTGCAAAAACTAGACTTTTTCCCCGTGAAAAATTTTGTTCAGACAATTTCCGGACTCGCCTCTTGGGCTCCTTTTAAGTCCCCTCCGTTAGAAATGCTGCAACAGGCCTCTTTTGAGCATGCTAGCATTTTAAATATCCGTTTTACTTACAATAGCGGCGCGTAGTATCATATTACCGCGTACACGTTTTCCAACCTGAGTCGCAGATAACTGCGCGCATTTATTTGGCGACATTTTGCATTTTTATACCTGGTTTACTTTTGCTGCATTTAGCTATTTGCTTTGTATCTGGACTATCAGTAGCACCAGGTTATGCTCATAATGAACATCTATTATCAAAATGTTTAGGATTTGGTTTTTATGATCAATTTTTGAGACGCTTATGAAATACTTTTTTCCATTTTTTGGTTTTTCTAGAGAACTACTAGGACAAATATAAGAATCGAGGTTCAGTCGAAGAAACTTGATCTCAGCATCTTCCTTGTTCTGCGACCTGTTTCTTTTTAAATAAAAATTTTGATTTAGCTCAAAAACTACACTGCTTTATCGATTAGATTAAAAGTCCAATAGAAACAAACACCCGCTTGTATTTTTTTCTGTTACGTTCTTACTTGAGCAAAGTCCTTGCTATAAAACATAGGTAAGACTTAATAAAAGCCCATTTTTGATTTTTTTTAAACGTATTGATTGTCTTAAAAACTACGGTGCCAAACCTGAGATTAATGGTTCACTAAAAAAAACAAGATTCATGGGCATCCCCTGCATCAGCGATTTTTTCGCTTTGGATAAGGAATCTGCTATGGAGAAGTTTGACCTTTTGGCCCATTTGTGGGCTTTGTTCAAAAATGATTTTGGAAATTCTAGAACAAACAAAATAATCAAACAGATATTTTTTAAATCTTCCCTGTTAAAGTATGTACTCCTTATTTTTGATATAAAACAGCTATGAACATAGTAAATGTCTACTTTTCGCCTTTTCGACACAATTTTAAAACTACTTTTTACCTTTTGCAACTTTTTTTGAAAAATAATTATCAATTAGGTACCCAGCTGGGCGTCTAATGTTTAACGATCGTTAAGCGGCCAAGGCGCAGATGCAAGGACCTGTGGTATTTCATCTCGAAGTCAAGGGTTCGGTTCCTGCACATAACCGACATTTTTTAAGTTTACTCTTTCTTTTTTTCCAGTTTTTGACGCTTATGACGCTAATGATTTTTATGTTTTGTTTTATTGTGCTGCAAAAAACAGCTTCACCTTTGTGCCAAAATTTGCATTTTATATTGAAGCGTCTTAGTAGTTTCATTTTGGGTCGTTTGATGAGCGAAACAAGTTTGCTCCTGTGTTTTTTTTGAGGGGAGGGAACTTAATATATTTTTAAATAGATTCTAATTATTTTTGATTTGTTTGGCTTAAAGGGTTTCTTCTCATGTACTTTCGTCTTTGTTACCGCTTGATAAGTTTTTTGCGATGCTGATTTCACACTATATTGTCTAGGCTTGTTTTTTTTTTACAAAAAAGCCCTATTCTTTTTGATAGATCTAAGTTTTCGAAATTTTCGATTTTGCGGCTTTTTTGTATTTTATTGCAAGTGATGTGTAAAAAAATAAGTTCTAATAATTGGTTCGATGTGATCTGTCTAACGTGTTTTTTTTTCAAAAATATAATTTATTTAAAAATTGTTTCAGAGTTGCCGGATGCGCCCAGCGATGCCAGAGTGGTGGGCGTGAATAGCACATCAGCTGAACTGGAGTGGAATCTGGGCTTCAACGGGAACTCGCCCCTGGACCATGTTCTAGTGACTTATATGATACCAGCAGAAGAGTCGGGTAAATTGAAGATGAACATTTCGTTTCTGGTTGCAGAAACTATATAAATATATTCGTTTTCATAATGAGAACAGACTCGATTACAGTTTACGCAACTTGTAATAATTAAACAAATCTTATCTTGGAAGAGTACCAAAAAGGCCAGTTAGCAGTCTATCGAACGGTGTCTCAACTTAGCTAATCAATCAAAATTAAACTTTTTCATTTTAACTTTCATTATTTTTTTCTACAAATTTTTCAAAAGTACATCAGCTTGTCGACATGTGATTCCAGAAAAGATTATATCCCAGATTTTTTCCAGCTAAATCAGCTAGATTTTTGAAAACAGAGCTTTGAATTGCTATATAGAAATAGCCGGTGTCTGTGGCCTTTTTTGTATTCATCCTCATCTTTTATTTTGATTGTTGATATTGGAGGTTCAATATAGTTCATAAATTTTGAAAAATCATTATCTGAGTTTGCTGCATTTAAAAGTTGCAGCTGAAAACTTTTTTCAAAATTTCAGTTAAAAACGTCTTTTTTACTGAAAACGTCTTTTAAAATGAAAACAGTCGTTCGAAAATTGCCGAGTAAATTTTTTTTTCAGGATCGTTTACGAAAACAGACAATCAAAATTTTACCTCCGAAAACAACAACAACAACTCATTCCAGCTCAAACTACACTCGACCAGCTCAAGAGTAAGATTGACTAACTTGCATCCAGCGCAACATTACAGGGTCCAAATATCCTCCGTCAATTCTCTGGGCTCATCTAAAAACAACCCAGAAGTGTCTCTGTTTACCAGTGAAGCAGGTTAGTTGGATATGTTTAATAAATTTACCCGCTACTCTAAGGTGCCTGCAAGAAAATCCCCCCATCCTAATATGTGAGAACTTCGAGTGGGGGTTAGGCCTTCGAAACTTACTGGACTTTCTATATAAACTCTATTCTTGTTTTAGATGCCAAAAACTAATCATAAAATAACGCTCTTCTTGTAAAAACAACTTTTTAAAAGTGTATTCTTTGATTTTAATGGCGTTTTAATTGTGACTTTTTCACGCGTTTTTGACAACAGAAACTGCGCGAACTTTGTCTCAACCTTTCAAGATTGTCAGCTGTGATGCGACTTTTTAAATTACATTTTTATGTTTGCAGTCTAGTCTCTCTTGAAACTATATGTACCATGGCATGACTGGCTTCTGAATTGTGTTTGTCGGCCGAGATAATAACTAATTATAATTTAATGTTAAGAAAGCACTGTGTTGACTAATTTTCAACTGTTGTACTTGTAGTACCATTGTGTGTTTCCAGCCATGCTTGAAAATTGGCGGCTCTAAACTCTTTTTCTTGTCACAACTTGAAAACTCTCTGAAAATTAATTTTTTGTATTTACTCAAGTATTAGTTCACATGAAATGGTAATAACATCGAAATTTAAAATTTTTTCATAAAATTATATATTGCTATTTATTCTGGTCCATTAATTGACAGCTTATTGAAAATTTAATAATTGAACTACTGTTTTTATAAACTTGTTATTATTTTTAGCTCCCAAGGGACCACCTTTGAATTTGAGATTGAGTGCGCTGTCAACTGACTCCATTTTGATCTCCTGGAAGGTAAAGAAAAATTCTCTAATTGATTTTGATTTGATGATCAAGTAACTTTAGAACCTTATTAAGAGCTGATTTAAGGGATGGCGCTGATCCTTCCCCTCAGAGATTTGACCCCTTGGTCACTCAATGACCCAAAGGGTTTTCCCTTTGGTTTTGTTTTAGAACATCTATATCAGCCGAAATTTCGGCCGTTTGAAAAATTTGGTCAATTTGATCGACTTTAAATTTTGGTCGACAAAATTTTCGAACAGTTTTTTGAACGAGGAAATCCTAGAACCGCCCCTGATTTGCTGGCAACCGTTTCTAAGTCTTAATTTGGGATTTTGCTATATTAAACGAGTCGGTTGAGTAGTCTTCCCAATTTGTTGAGTTGTTGGATATTTCTGAAATTTGACTTTTCATGCTCAAGTTTTGCTGTTTTCCGCAAAAAAATTCTTTTAAAACAAAACTTACTCGGCAATGAATTGCTACTTATTTCATTTGCTTAGTCCTAAAATTTGAAAAACTCTGAGAATCGACATAGAAAAGTGGTTTTGGATAATACCAGATGAGAGCGAAAACATAAGCTTTAAATCCTTTCCAGAATTCAGATTTTTTTAAATCCAATTTAAGCTTCATTTCTTCTCCTACAAATTTGGTAGAGATTTATGCTGATCTGAAAGTAATCATTTCAAGTTCCAAAAAAATTTGGCGTCAATTCGACATCTTAAATTTTTTATTACTACTTTCTAGGAAGCATTTAATTTGCATCTAGCTCTCACGACTTTTTTGTTATTCACTTGACATTTACAACTCAATCCAATTTTATAAATCCTATCGATTTCGGGAGACTTACAGCAGCTGATCTCTCTTAACAGTCAGAAGAATAAAGACTCCTTAATTCAATTTGGGGGACTAAAATAGGGAAGGGGCGTATGTTCCTTCTTGAGTTTAATTTATAATTCAGCTCGATATACCATAAGAGAACAATAAAATTTAGTCTGGTTGGTTTGTAAAAGCTTCAAAAATATATTTTCAGCAACCTGCGAAAAACAAAAGAAACGGTGTAATCACAGAGTATGACATTGTTTATTACAACATCGTGGATCAAAACAACCAGAAAATTGTAAACATACCGGCAAGAGGACAGAATTTCAAAGCTCTGTCGGGAAATTTTGACCAGGAATACGAGTTGACAAATCTGAGTCTGTTCACAACTTACGACTTGAAAATCCGAGCTAGAACGTCGGCTGGTTCGGGTCCGTTTTCGCCACCTGCAATGATCACGACACTGGAAGGTGTGCCAGACGAGGCCCCTAGAAACCTGGAAGTGATTCCCTCGTGGGAGAGGAATATTCTGGTGAAATTTGACCCTATACCTGAAGAGAACGTGAACGGGCGGTTGCTAGGGTACAAAGTAAAGTACTTCAAAAACGAAGGTCAGTTGATTTGAATTCAACTCAAAGAGTAGAATTAAAAAGTAAAACAAGGATAGCCGGTTACTGTGCAAGCAAGTATCACAGAATGTTCCGGAGATAGTTCAAAAAATACATAGTTTTTCAAATTAATTTCGTTTTTTTCCGGAGTGGTGTGATAAAAGTAGCTGAACAAAAGTAGCAGCCATTTTTTTTCAGGTTTTGCAGTTTTTTGAATTTTTGAAAAATTTGATTCCAAAAAGTGCTAAAATACTCAAATTAAATTCACGTTACTCAAGTAAAACTAAGTTTTTACATTTTAAATTAAGCTATTGTAAGCTTTTAAGCAATTAAAATAAGAATGCTCGCTCGCTGTTTTCGCTCGAATTAAGACGAAAAAGTAAAAACTTCAAAACAGTTTCTCTCGACCCCGGGAATTTTTTTGAATTTTTTTAGTGTGGTTCGAATCACAATTAAAAGGGCTCCAATATGATATATCACTCAACTTAGTCTGATGATTATTTGTGACACCTGATTTTGCGTAGTAAACTAAAAAAAAACTAAAACAGTACCAAATACAATGTTTCTCTCGAGTTTCAATGGCCGGAACAATTAAGGTACCTTGTAAAGAACACCGCCCCTTCTCCAAAATACAAACTCAACGTTTAACGTAAGGGATTGCTGTACCTCGCAATTAATGGGTGTCGGGTAGTAAGAAAATCACAACAAAAAAAATTGATCAGATGAGAAAACAATTTTTTTGATTTCAGCATATTTCAAACCTAACTAAAAATCTAATTTAACCCAGAATGGTCAATGTTTTTTGAAACATTGTTTTTCCACTTGTCAAGTTCAATATTAGTTGAAACCTGTTAAATTTATAGTCAATTGATGACCTCATTATACTAAATTCAATCATTCTGAAACAACAAATGGGCAGCAATAGCGATGCACACCTGTTATTGTTCGAACCATTTGAAAAACGTGGCAAACTTTGTATTCGGAGGGTCTTTTAGTTTTTTTTGTTCCAACCATTTGAAAAAAGGGGAATAAATTCGTAATTCAGAAATGTTTCAGTTTTGTTTGTGTTTTTTTTCTTGTACAATCAGCTACCACAAATAATCAATAGGGAGAGTTAAGTGTTATATCATATTACAAACATTTCAGTCGTAATTCGATCGACTTTTGAAAATTTCCAAAAACTTCCAGTGTCGAGAAAAACCAGTTTGAATTTAATTTTTTGATTTTTCATCCTAGTTCGAGCAAACAGAGCAAGCAAGCAGACTTATAACAGCTTAGTTATGCCTAATTTTAGCCCTAAAAATTGAGATTTAAGCAAAAAAAAAAAACGAATTTTTGGAGATTCTCAGCTCTATTTTAAGAACCAAAAACTCACACAAATTCAAGCATTTTGTGCAAAAAAAATTTGAAAAAAAATTGAATTTGAAAATGTTTGTTCTAATCATTTTTCTACAAAAATTTTTGTCCACTTTGCCGAATATGCCTAAATTATGTTATATTTCTACGTCAAATCCTTTTATTAGACCACACAGAAAAAACTACATTAATTTGAAAAAAGATTATTATTTTTGAAAGACTGCGATCGAAACATTTTTTGCTACTTCCACAATAACCGGCTATTCTTGTTGTTCCGACCATTGAAAATGGGGAGGAATTTTGTATTCGGGTGTGTTTTAGTTTTTTACCACGAAACATCATGAACCACACATAATTATTGGACTGGACTGAGTGATATATCATTTAAAAGGCAAATCAGTCGTGATACAAACCGATTAAAAACATTTTTTAAAATAGTTTTGAGAAAAACCGAACTGAAATTTTTGATGTTTGGTCTATTTTTGAGACTAAAGCGATCGAGTAAGATTTGTTGTTTGTAAAAATTAGAAATTAAGTTTAAAAATAAATTGATTTTAATAGGAGGAAGCTTCATTTAATACTTTTCCGGCAAAAAAAAATAATAATTTTTAAAAATATTTAAATTTTGTAGTGCAAAATTTTTTTAAAAAATTGAAAATTTTTTCATTTTTTGTATTGATTTTTTGCAGACCCATAGATTCGTTTATGCCTAATTCACTATTTTTCTACGCAATTTTTTTCTGAAAATGTGTTAGAAACATTCTCTACTTATTGCACAGCAACCGGCTATCCTTGTTTCTTTTTCTTTTTTTGTTCTTCACGCAAAATCAGGTACCACAAATAATCATCGGAATGAGTCGAGTGATATATCATATTAAAGCGCTTTAAGTCATGATTCGTACGATCATAAAAATTTTCCAAAAATACTTTTCAGTGTCGAGAAAAACAGGGGTAAATTTGTTTATTTTTAGTCTTATTAAGCATGCGAACATGCTTTTTTATGCTTAATTTAGGCCGTTTACAATAGCTTATTTATGCTTAATTTTAATTTTACTCGAGTATAATTAGTTTTTGTAGCTTTATCAACGCCATTTTGACAATGAAAAACGGCTTTTTCCATTTTACCTCCCCACATTTGAATTTAAGTTTGAAAAACTTACTTTACATTAGTCAAAATGTTATGAAAATTTGCATGGCGAACAAACAAACTATTGTGAACACATTTTTGTTCATAATTTTCCCCTGAAAAGATTACATTATTCGATGTTTCGAACTGCAGACACGATAGATTACAACTTTTGATCATGTTTGACTGTTTTTTTCCAGAGCCGAATGCAGTGACTTTCTACCCCTCCCTGGACAGACTGATTCTTTTGAGTCACGTGGACCCCTACAGCAACTACACTATTGCAGTGTGTGGGTACACACACGCGGGGGATGGCATTTATTCTACTCCTGTTGTCATTGAAACATTACAAGCACGTAAGCAACACATAATTAGGCAGTGTTCAAGTGTAAATTATAAAAAATATATACAAATATAAACTAAAGTTATAAAAAAAATTTTAAAAAAAATCAAAATCAGTCATATACATCAGATTAGATAGATCAAGCTGTTAAGCCAATAAGTTATAACTTGTAGCTACCCTCTGTGAACTTTTTTTCCTCTAAAGTTCAGCAATGGCAAAGGGGTCAATATAAAATCTAGATTGGAGAACTTCACAACCAAATAAAAATCATTTTCTGTTAATGTAATTGTATATAGCGCACAAAAACGCTCATTTTTATTTCAAAGGTGGATTTAAGTTCTAAGATTTCCCAAGGGAAAATATTTACCGTTGACTCAGTTTTTCAAAAACTTCAAGAAAAAATTGATATAAAATCATTCATTTTTTGGTTTCTTGGGGTTCATGGACGGTTTCCAAATTGTTTGTTGGATATCGGTCTTGATTTTTTGCAAATAATTTCGCCATTTTGTTTTCATGTCAAAATTTTGTCAGTCAAATTTCTAGTTGACTCCAAGTAAAGCGTATTAAAACGTTACGAGTCAGAACTTCTTCGTACTGAAAATAATCTACTCCTTTCTTTATTTTCAGCGCCTAGTGCTCCCGAGAAGAGCAAAGTGGTGGTGAAGTCCCCAAGGGAGGTGATGGTGTCGTGGCTCCCCCCTCTCTATCACAGGGGGGTACTAAAGGCGTACAAAGTGTGCTTCGAAAAACAGACCATTGTATCGGTGAGTCATTGGAAATTTGCCAAAGGGGAGATTCGTTATTCGGAACAAAATTCTTCCACGTCTAACAGTTGAATTACTTCATTACAGGGGTGACCATTCGTTACTAGGTACCATAGGGGTACCATACTTAAAGAGATCCGGAAATTTAATTTATACGCATCTTTGTAAGAGCTGTAAAAACTGTTCTGCATGTTCAATTTTTTGGTTAAATATATTATTTTAATCGTTTGATAACTTAGAGAGCGATTTTAAATTATGATTTTTATTCGGCTAAAAATGCGTTTGGTTCATCCATTTTTCAATATTGTACCCAAAGCAGAAAGTTGTGAGAAAAAATTTTGTCATCAAATTGCCGAGGATTTCTATTTTTTCATTGCAAAACAACATCGTTTTCCATTATCTTAGAAAAGTTAGATCCGCCTTTCCTACCAATGGATATTTTATGTTGTCATTTGATGATAATGACATAAAACCGATCACTCTGAAAGAAACGCATCGCATTGGGCGGATTTTCAAAAAATTTTCGAATATTTTGTCGACCTTTTTCAAAGTCGATCATCAAATTCAGTGGCGGATTTAGGGGGGGGGGGGGGGGGGGGAGGACCAATTAAATGGGGGGGGGGCGGACGCCCCCTCCCTCAGGGATTGGACCCACTGCCGACCCAAAGGGTCCCCCCTTTGGTACTTTTTAAGAAATCCATTTTTGCCGACCGACCCTAAAGTTTTTCTAAGGCGCCTTCGGCGCCAATATATACTAACTTTGAGGGATAGCGCGCGCCAAAAAACGCGTTTTTTTTGTCAAAATTTTCCAAAAAGTGCCCAAAAACGGCTTTTTTGACTGTTTTTTCAAAAAGGCTTAAAACAGTGCTTTGGGAGAGCTCGAAAAATCAATTTGGTCGACCTAAAAAAAAAAAGGTCGTCAAAATTTTGGAAAATTTTTCCAAAATCCGCCCCCCCTCGAGAAAATCCTAGATCCGCCCCTGATCAAATTGATTGTCCAAGCTCTTCTTAATCTTTATAAAAAACCCCATTTTGACCAAATTTTCTGCGCCGCAGGCAATTGTTTTTTTTAAAAAAACAGGCTAAAAAGCGTTGCATTTTTTGGCAGTTTTTGGAAAAATTTTATCACCAAATTTTAGGTCTGTCACCTGAAATCGGGTGGCTTAAAATAGTACCAATAGGGTACTCTTTGAGTCTTCAGGCAATCGAATCCCTGTAAAGCCCTCCCCCCTCTAAATTGCTAGTGTAGCGTTGTGAGATTTTATGTTTATGTTTTTCAGCGCGTGGGTGCAAAGTGCAAAGAGATGACGTCTAACTTCAGCCATTACGTGGAGGAGAACATAGAGGCGGGAGAGACATACAGTGCGTGGGTTGTGGCCGTGAACAAGGCGGGTGAGGGTGACTCATCCGAAACCCACCAAGTCACAGTGTCCGCATCTTCTACAGGTTTGCACACCAACAAGTCACTTCGTCGCCGTTGGTGTAATATTGACTACATTGAAAAAACTAATTTTGCCCTCACACTCGTCGATTCTCACAATCCATAGAAGAATTTTGTGAGAAAATTGGAAAATTGCCTCGGAACTTCTCTCTCCCCGCCGAAACACAATTGTTGAACTCTTAATTGAACTTGAAGCATTTTTTTTGTTCCCAGTACCGCCTAAATAAACATTTTAAAGTTTCCTAGCCATCCTAGTTTCCTAGTTTCCTCTAAACATCCTAAATTGAAGCTGGTTAAAAGTGCCTGGAAGGGAAGAGGAGGAGGGAGGAAGTAAGATCCTTTCAAGCTAAATTAAGAGGTTCATTCAAGAAAATTTTGTAGTTTATTCACAAAAAAAAATTAAAACCATAATTTAGAACTTTCTAGCATGTGATCTTAATTGTTGCCAGTGCCTCCTCAGATCTACTCGTTCTCGCGCAGTCTCACTGCAGTCTGGAAGTCGGACTTGATCCTGGACTGTCTGTTCGTGGGAAGCCCCACCCCCTCCCTCACGTGGTACAGAAACGGAGTCGAGTACGCACAATTTCACTTCTGTCCTCTTATATTTTATCATGCTTCAAACTAGTCATGCAAAACTTTTAATTTTTATATAAGTGATTTTCTTGATAATTTTTAGATTTTGATATATTTTATTAAAAAATTGCCAAATGATGTTTTTGTGAAAAAAATCCTTATTTTTAGTTACATTTGTGTAATGACCTCACTTGGAAATAAGTTGTTATGATTATTACTATAACATAATGAATCGTGTGAACTTTTGGGAATTTTTTTTCAACGACTCTCTAGGTCTTCGAAGCCACTCGGCGTGTACACTGATGGCAAATTGGAGGACAAATATCTGCAGTTGAGGAACAACTCCCTCCTCATTTCCTCAGCCGAAGAGAGGGACTCCGGAAAATACACCTGTGCAGTTGCTAACAAGGACCAATCAGACTCTATTAATTATACCGTTACTGTTTTGGGTAAGTTTTTTTTGTTTATTCCATTAATTGCCTCGCGTTATTATAAATTTTTAATAATGGTTGATTTTGAGCGTTTTTATATACATTTTTGAATCTTTTCTATTAAATAAGGAAAACAACGAAGACGTAACCAAATCGTGAAAATATCGTTGTAAAAAAATTTCATGGATGTCAGTGAATTTTCAAAGTTTTTACTTAATGGCCCTCTTAATTAAATGTGGTGTGGGAGAAAAAGAGCTGACCCATTTTTTGTTAATGAGAAATTTGCGGAATTCTGTTTTCTGCGATCAATAAAACTAAACACATTCAAATAGTCTTCTTTTTTGGCGAAAGTTTTTGCACATTCCAGTGGAAGTTTCAATTGTTTTTAAATTGTGAACAAATTTCAATTATTCACAAGTTTTGAAAATTAACATTTCAGATCAATGGAGGAGTTGTAAGTAGACGTTTTTCAATAATCACTGGTGTTTGGTTTTTAAAGCTTCCAACAAATTTATTGCCATTATGTGACGAGCACTGAACGCTGGTTTGACTCGGGCAATTTCATTCTTCCAACTTGAATGCCAATTTTTGCAAATATTATTTGTCTGTATATTGTAGGGTCTATTGTAAAATTTCCGATCTTCATCTTTTTATCCAAAATTTTTAAAAATAAATTACAAAACTGCATTTTTTGGCTAAAATTGGCCAGGATCTGTATATCGCTGGGTCTAGCAAAACGCTTCCAATGATTGACAACTAAATTGAGAGGTAAAATCTTAAGGCGAAAGTTTTTCCCGCAGAGCTTTGAAAACTGGTTGAAAATTTTGGTAAATCGCATGGGGTCTATTCTCATGCGCGGAGGACCAAATGGGCGAAAAAACTCGTGGGCGAAGAAGCGAAAACAAAATTAGCCGAAAGTCAATTTTTTTAAAAAGAAGCAATTGCCATTCAATTAAAATTAATTAAATGAAGCAATATTTTGTTTCTTTCATAACAAAACCCTGGAAATATAAAATTTGTTCCAATTCGGCGGCGGTCAATGACAATTTGAAAATTTTGCATATTTCTGCCGTTTTTATATTCGGCCAATATCAATATTCAGTCCCTGGAAATGTTTACTTTCTTTCCAAATTTTAGATTAGTGAAATCTGATTGGCTGGTTTTTATTTTCGCGCATTCGGTCCTTCGCGTATGAGGGATTCCACCAAATCGCATGAAAATTTGAAATAATAATGACCATATTGAATTAAAAATGGTAAGGCAGTACTGTCAGCAGGTATGAAGCGTTAAAAGATTTAAAAGCTTAAACAGAAGGAATTTACGGTTTCATTTCAATTTTTTCCGACGCTGCCCAAATTCGTTTAATTTTGAATTTTAAATTTTTTGAGGTAGTACCATCAAACATATCAATTTCACGCAATAAATTGTTTTTGATTTTCTGATACAATGGTGGCAAAAACTGAGAATTTTGGTTATCATAAATTTGTCTTTTGCTTAAATTATTCAGGCTTGTTATACAATTTTTTTGCAAAAAGACAAAATATCGATCTCGGAATTTTTGCTTATAAATTCAAGATTCAGTTCATGCGGATGATTTTTGTTGTATGGCAGTTGTGAAAATTGCGGAATATAGGTGAAAATTTCAACTTTGCTGTTTTCTGCAGAAGTAACCCTTAAAATATTAAGTTTTTTCAATTTCCCTTCAGCCTGGCTATATGCTTGAAACTCGATTGTCTGCTTAAACCTTAATTCGCAAATGTACGATTGTACGAATTGTATGTGATTTTGAGATGTTTGCAATTTTTATATTGATTTTTGTTCCGACTTTCGATACGAAGGTAACGGAATATTTGTGCTCGGGTGGGTTTTTTTCTTCAGACAAATTTCGACTTTTTAACTAGCCATTTTGACGGAATTTTTTCATATCATTCAAAAAGTATTGTTGTACTGAGCTCAAATTTGAAAAGATATTTCACCTGTGATCATTTTTTGTGAAGTTACGGGGGTTTAAAGATTGCCATTTTGGTCAATTTGGGACAATTAACGCGCGATATATTTTGCGCTATTGTCGCGTAAGTGGAGAGTTAATCCGTCTTAGGAATCGTTCCAAATTGGTTAAAAGAAGCTTATTTGCCATAATTTGTTTGTTACGAGGAGCGAAAACTATCCTTTTGTGTTTAATATGGCGTGTGGGGGGATGATTTTCATAAAACATGTTAAATTTTAGAAAAAAAAATTTTTCATTTATTTTATTTCATTGAATTTTTTAATCTTATTACTGCTCCATAAACCTTAAAGGGCAGTCGAAGCATTGAGGGCTTCGCCCTGATACGAGCAGTCTTGTTCAAGTCTCAATTCTAATTGGCCAATATCAACTTCCAGCCATTTGATTTCTCCATCATAAAAATTTCCATCCAGTTTTTTTCCAAACAAACCGCTTTTTACAAGCAACAATAACTTATCAGGGATCACAGCTAAGTCTTAAAACTCTTTATTTTCAAATTGATTCATAGCACAAGTAAAACCATTTTTTCCCAGCCTTAGTTATTTCAACTCTGATTTTTTCTGAGCTACTTAAATAAGCTCTGTTATATCCGCTTTAATAAAATGCATTTATTTCTGCCTGTTATTTCATTACTCAAGACCAAGTCTGTCTGAAATGTCATACACTGGGGTTTCAGTGGCGTAGTGATAATGTGTTTGTCGGTGATGCCTTAAGTATTTGGGTCAATCACGTGCTGTCGCAAATTTTTAAAGCTAGCAAACCACAAAATTGGAGCTGAAAATGCGCATTAATCAACAAATCATGTTACTTTCAAAGCTGCAATTTCAGGAACTGTGAACACGCTTGAGTTTTTTAAACTATATCTAGCGTAAATATTTAAAATTTCTTTTCGAAAGTTGGAGAAAATCGAAACTACGCGACTCGAAGTACAAAATAAATCGAGATTCCATCCACCTATTAAAAAAACAACTCTAGATTTAATCCAAAAAAAGCACCGCTAAAATCAATCTCAGTTTGTTAACTCTGATGAAGAGAAACTTGGTTAAAAATTTAATAATTGGCAAATACTTTTAAAGCTGCTATTTATGTCTGGTCGGAGTTTTCCAATTCGCGTTGACCTCTATTCTAGAAAATGGTAGCCTAAAAATTTCAATTACGGAGCTTTTAAAAAATGGTAAGCATTCAATTTCATTCTTTCAAAATTGTATGAATAGCAATGTTTTCAACAAGAGCAGTTTCTTTTACACTATCAAAATTTAGGATAATAGATGTAAAATTGAATTGAAGCTGGGACTTTCCATTTAAGGGTTTTAAAATTGGTTTTGTAATCATTTTCAAAATATCTATCTAAAAAACATCTAATTTTAGCTACTTTGCAGTTATTTTCTGGAAAAAATTTCAGTGTAATTATTCAAGATATTAGCTTATAGTTCCAGGTAAGTTTTTGAACATTGGAAAAAGTTAATAAATCATTAGCCTTAATTTTGACTAGCACTCCTGAATCGTTCCAGGCGTTGTTTGAAATTTGGACTGCTCGTGTATTAGAACAGAGCCCTTAATATCCCAAATGCACTTTAAGGACAGCTAAAAGGTTTTTGGTTGAAACAAACAAAAAGAAAACAAGACTGCTCGTATCAAGGCGAAGCCCTGAATGTTCCGACTGCCTTTTAAGGTTTATGGAGCAATAATAACATTAAAAAATTCAATGAAATAAAACAAAATGAAAAATAAGTTTTTCTAAAATTTGAAATTTTTTTATAAAAATCATCCCCCCACACGCCATAAAAAGTACAAAAGGATAGATTTCGCGCCTTGTAACAAACCAATTATGGCAAATAGGCTTCTTTTAACCAATTTGGAACGATTTCTAAGATGGATTAACTCTCCACTTACGCGTTAATAACGCGAAATATATTGCGCGTTAATTGTCCCAAATTGGCCAAAATGGAAATCTTTAAACCCCCGTAACTTTACGAAAAACGATCACAGGTGAAATATCTTTTCAAATTTGAGCTCAGGACAACAATACCTTTCGAATAATATTTTAAAAAATCCGTCAAAAATGGCTAGTTAAAAAGTCGAAATTTGTCTGAAGAAAAAAAAACCACCCCGAGCACAAATATTCCGTTACTTTCGTATCGAAAGTCGGAACAACAAGTTTCTTAGCGTCTTTTATAATAATAGGACCAAATTACTCGCCTTAAATCAATTTGGAACGATTTGATCCGCCGCTTAGGCGTGTTATAAGAACACAAAATGTTTTGTGAGAATTGTCCCAAGTTGGCCAAATTAGTAATTTCCAAAACCCCATAACTTTATAAAAAATGATCACAGGTGAAATTTTGAGAGCAAACAAACCAACCAAAGTATGAGTCAACCGAAATTCGCGATTGGCTTATGAGTGAATTTTCATAACTTTCGTACTGTTACATAGTTATATTATATAAATTACGTAATTTCGGCTGGTTGATACTTCGGCTGGTTTTTATACGTCCGAAATTTTATTTAAATATGAGCTCCGCTTAACAATATTTTGCGAATGACATAAAAAAAGTTTTCACAAATGCTTAGTTGAATAGTCAAAAGTTGATTGAATAAAAAATATTATAAATATTCCGCCACTTTCTTTGAAAGTCGGAACAAAAAGGAACGAGTTTTTGATAAAAATTTTGAAAAATTGTATAGGAGGTAATTGTAATTGAAAAAATAGTAATTGAAAAGTTTTGGAGTGAGGTCATTTGACGGATAATTCATGCTTTTATGTATAATTCATGTGTTCTAGCGCCTCCGAAAACACCCCAAACAACTGTTGGCTATAGACTAAACACGAGCTTAGAACTTCGATGGTCGCAAGAAAACGAGATCAAAAGCTTCGTCTCCAAGTACACAGTCCATTTTCGGCCTAAAGTTTCATCGGCCAAGTTGGACATCGGAGAGAACCCATGGAAAAATGTCTCGATTGACGCAGACAGGATGAAAATCAACGAAAATGATGAGAAATTTAGTGGTTCTTATGTAATCGAAGGTTTAGAGTGCGGCAAAACGTATGAGGCGTTTGTGACTTCTGAAAATGCAGTTGGGAAAAGCGAAATGGGAAACATTCTGTCTTTCAAAACACTCGGATCCAGTTAGTTGCTTAAAATGTCATTTTTGCGCTGCAATTTTAAAAAAAAAACTCAAAACAAAACAATTAAAAAGCCATTTTTAAGAAATTTCAGATATCCTCCAAAAAGCATGTCATTTCAATTTTAAAAACTTGTTGCAAAAAACTTAAAAATGCATGTCTTTTTCACTTATTTTTAAAAAACAATTAATTGAAAGGAGGACAAGAGATCATGTTTTGGCAAGTTTTTTGTTCCCTGGAAAAAAATGTCCACTGAGTCATTGTTGAATTTAAAAAGAGATTCAGTTTTATGGTCAGGCATATTACTCATTGAAAATATGTAACACACATAGTGTTCTATTTAAAAACCTAAAAAATCGATCAACAATAAAGCTAGTTTGCTTTGTTGTATTTATTGGTCAGAAAAAATTTAGTTTCAGATGAAGCATTATCTAAAAGCTCAACATATTTGTTGTAAGTGTAAACATTTTTTATTCTTGCAATTTTTGTGTATTTTCATCTTTTCCAGCTCCCCTCAATCCGGACTTGAAGTCACTAGTAGAGGAGATATCATCGACCAGTGCTCTCTTGAATCTGTCCACCATACAACACAACGGCTGTTTCCTCAACAACGTCATCATTCAAGTCCACGTTAGTTCAAAGCATTGTCCAATCCGCCACTTTTTTGCTTAATTATACAACAAAATTCAATAAAAGTTTAAATTTGATTGTTTTAATTTAGCATTTCTTAAAGGACATTTCGATTATCTCAAGTTTCAAATCTTTTCTTGAGAGTTATTCGACCTTAGCCATCAGCGGCGATATTTTTGAAAAAATTCTGACTTAAAATACATTTTTTTCACGAATTGTTATAAACTATTGAACTTAATTTCGTCAGTAGCATCAATTCTTTGAACCAATCCTGAAAAAGTTCTCCAAATTATACAAAATTAGACAGTTATAATGCTCTTCAAAATTTGAACGAGACACTATATTACCTGAACTTAAACCTTAATCGAGTTATCAAACGAAATTTATCTGTAAAATTTGTCAAAAAGCTTATCTTAAATCAATTTTAAAATTATATTACGTACTGCAACCATCTGTCGCGTGTTTACATTTTAATGCCTAGAATAAAATAAATAAATCATAAAGCGTTTAAGTAACAAAATAACAACAACAAAAGAAACCGACTTATACTCGATAGGTAAGAAATAATTTCATCAAAGAATTCGACATTACATTTTTCTGTTCTTTTTTTCCAAAACATCTCTTCGTATATATACATACTCACGAATAAACTACAACATACAGTTTTATACGGAACTTATAAAATATACCCTTCAGTTTATAATATGTTCCCCTCAAGTTTCATAAATTTGAATATTTTTAATTGATTATTATCTACATCATTATAATGTTCCGACCATTTAAAATGGGAAGGAACTTAGTTTTCGGGTGTTTTTTAATTTTTTTTCTGAACAAAATCAGGTACATAAAGTGAAATGGGTGGAGTGATATATCACATTAAAGCCCGTTCCGCAGTGATTTGACTCAAAAAATTTTAAAAACAGTAACCCAATTTCGAGAAAACCGTGTTTGAATTTTTGCGTCTTTGTCTAATTTCGAGCGGGTAAAGCGATCGAGTAGGTCTTATTTCAGGTTTTCGTCTTCCACGCAAAATTAGACTCCACAAATAATCACCGGTATAGTTCAAGTGTTTTTAAAACCCTTTTAGCCGTGACACTAAAAATATTAGAAAAAAATTTGAAACGTTTTCTCAGTGTTGAGAAAAATTGAAACGAAAATTTGCTCGTATAGCGAGCGAGAAATGTAATTGAATGTAGTCTAAATTGATTTTAAAGTTACTTTACTTGCTAACATTTCTCATTTTTGCAGTTTTTTGCTCACGTCAGTCAGCATTTACTAAAAACTAACAGTAAATTGAACAAAAAATTTAAAAAGAAAAGAAAAAAAATCGAAATAATTTGTTTTTTTTTTGTCTTTTTATTTCAAACTGTTAACATTGCTGATAAATGTGGCAGAAGAACCTTCTGTGCAACTTGCACAGCAATCTGCTTTTCTAGTTAAGTCAACTGTTTAAAATACTTTAATTATTTTCTTAATATTTGGTTATAATGTTAAATTATCAGGAGATAGGCTCACGGAAAATGGATTCATCCAAATCTGGCGGCAGTTCTTCAGTCACGAAGAAATACAAAGTATCTGGCAACAGAGTCAACTTCGTCTTGGTTGAATTGGAGCCGGCCACTTACTACGACTTGAAACTTATCGCAAACAACAGCGCTGGTTCTTCCCAGACTAAATACACGTTCGCGACACATACCATCACTGGGGGTAGGTCATTTTTACAATTAACTATTTTTGTTTTTATTTTGATAGTAGCTAATTTTTGGGGGTTCTTTTTTTTTAAATTGTTCTAATTGGGTCGAAAACTTTGGTTTAAGCAGAACCTTGAAATGAACAAATGAGATTTTTTCAACAATTTAAAATGAGGTTAGAAAAGAAAAAATGAAATCCATTTAGCGAAAAGTTTAATTTTTAATTCCCAGGAAATTAAACAAGTAGACTGGTTAAATTTGAGTATTTAGGTTTTATAAATTCTACTCCCAAATAACGGACAAAAAGTTTGTGGTAAAAAAAATTGTGTTTTGTGAATTTAAACTACCGGGTTTTTAATGTAAAATAAAACTGGCATTCGTCATCATCATATTGTAGTTTCTTTTTCTTGGCTTCGTTTATTTAGCGTCGAGAAGACCTTATTTACTCATATTTTCGATAAATGAATTTAGTTTGCTTAGAACCTCTTCCTGATCAGTTTCTTCCGGAGGGTGCTTCCCAGTACGACTCCCCCTTCACGAATCAGACTCTGGTCGGCATATTTGGAGGGGTGGGGTTGGGAGCTGTGCTCTTTCTCTGCCTCATCCTTCTCTGTATTCTGAAGGGAATAAAGAACCAACGCAAACAAAGTGAGAACTAAGTGGTGTCCGGAAAATAAGACGGCAGCTCTTAAGACGACAACCGTTTTAAATAGGATTTTAAGACAACTTCACATGTCTTAAACGAATGATAGCTTGAATTCATTTAGACATTGTTATTGCAAAACGAAATGATTTACAAATATATGGCTGCTAGTAAATATCATGAGTTAATATGCTAGCGTCAATAAGATTTGGATTGCACTTTCAATCGGTGTTTTAGGATACCACGGAGGTTACGACACCAGAAAACGGAGCAAAACGAGCCACGTTCCCGACTTCCCTCCCGAAATGCTACACACCCTTAGCTCCGACCGTGGAACTCTTGTTCACATGGGCTCAATATTCCCCCACGACCCAGCCAGGACAAATAACCCTGCAAATCTAGGCTCTATGAATTTCGGTCGCACGAATTCGTACCTGCAAGAATTGGCCAATGGCAATGCAAATGGAAGGGCAAACAAATCGGGATCTAAAAATAGTCTCCTTGCTTTTGCTTTGACTCAAAATAGAAACCCAAGGCCGATCGATCAAAACGGGCAGTTCATTGGTCTTCATTCAACTCAGCCGAGTAAGTTTTGTTTTAAAAGAATTTTTGATGCGGAAAACAGCAAAATTTAAGCATGAAAAGTCAAATTTCAGAAGATACTGAACCGACTCGTTTAATATAGCAAAAACCAAATTAAGACTTAGAAATGCTTGCCTGCAAATCAGAGGCGGATCTAGGAGTTTCTTGAGGGACAGATTTTCAACAAACTTTCGAACATTTTGTCGATCTTTTTCTGAGGTCGACCAAATTGATTTTCCGAGCTCTCCCAAAAAGCACTAAAAAGACCCTGTTCTGGCCAAAAATTGAGCACCGCAGGCAAATTTTTGAAAAAGGAGGCCAAAAAGGTGTTCTTAGATTTGGCAGGTCAAAAGCGCAGTTTTGACCGAAAAATCACATTTTTTCGGTGCGCGCTTCCCCCTCCAAAGGAGTATATATTAGCGCCAAACGCGCCTTTAAAAAAATTTTTGGGCCAAAAATGGAGGTCTTCAAAAGTACTAAAATGGGGACGTTGGGTAGTCAGGAGGTTGAATCTCTGATGAAGAGGGAGTGGGTCCGCCAAAGCGCCCCCCCCCCCTTAATCCGCTACTGCTGCAAATTCCATGGTGATTTTTAAAAATGTTTTGAAGTTTTTCTTATAAGAAACCAGTGCCACATTTCTTTGCTTTTTCAACTATTTTTGATGAAAATTTGTTTTTTTTTTCAGATCTGAGCTTGTTACGTGATGCACCAGATGCGCCTATTCCCCTGCCCGAGCCAGCGAACCCAATGTTTCTCTCACATGGAAATCTGGCACTCAGTCTTGGAATAGGAGGAGGGGCTTCTGGGGTTCCGCGAGGAAGCATTCGCACCATCCATTCCCAGGCGAATAGCGCCTCGAATTTGAACTTTGGTTACCCAAGTCAACCGAATCCGAACTCAATTTACAATACTTACAATTCTTCGCCATTCGCGAGCAACCAAGATCCGAGAGGCCCGAACGGCCCGAACGGCCCGAACGGCCCGAACGGCCCGAACGGCGGTGGGTTGTCGTCGTCGCTTTTGCAGACGTTCGCTGTGGAGCGAGGCGACGACTCGGGAATCGACGAAGACGAAGGACAGAGTCCCGAACCCGACATCAACACGAGTCGTAATGGGTCGACGTCGGGTGGGGGTTCAAGAAATGGCAATAATAGTCGGTCGGGCTCGTTCGCCCAGAAGTCGCCTTCGGGTGGAACTGGAGTCCCTATGATTCCTGGGTTGTCCAACTCGCAACCGAGACTGGCATTTAACACACAGCCTAATGTAGATGCAACACGAGCGACCTTGCTTAAAGAAGAGCTGAAGAAACATATGTGTAAGTTCAATGACCTTTACTTATCTATAGTTGAATCAAAGTCAAAAAGTCAAACCAGACTTACATGAACACGAAAGAAAAGACAAAATAAATGAAGTTACTTCATTCCAAATTACATATTTTTGTGAATGCAAATGATAATTTATATTTGAAATATAGTTAGAATCCAATCCTAATTTGTTTTTTTTTCTGCTATATGTTTAAGCACAGTTAGAGCTCAATCTTATTTTGGATTTTTTTCTTGCAGGGATGACGGAAGCAGCGATGATGCCGATGCCCCCACCCACTCACATTCCATTGGGTGGAGGACAACCATCACATCTCAACTCCTCGACCAGTTTCCACGGGGGAGACCAGCAGCAGTCCCGTCTCAGTTTCCCCGTCCCCCACAGTCCTGGAGGGTCGCAGTCTTCCTTTTCCATCAACCGGCCCAATTCTTTCATAGCTTCTACTCCCACACCTGCTGGGATGACTAGGTCGCAGTCTACGGCCGGATCACAGGGTTAGTTTTCATTTTGTTCAGAGAAGCTATGGTGCAGTGGCCTAGGTTTCCGCCTATCGGCTCTTTTCCAGTTCCCCTCTTTGAATTTCAATTTTGAAAAGTCTATTTAACGTTGTCATAAAGCAATGAAATTTTGCGTGGTGAACAAATCGACAATTCTGAACAGATTTGTTCTTCATACTTTACAGCGTAACATCACGCATTTAGCCGTAATAATACGTAAAACAAACATAATACTCGGTATTTTGAAAGGGGGGACTGGAAAAGACCCCGCCTATCAGTCGAAAGGTCAAGGGTTCAAGTCTCATCATGATCCCTGCTCGTTGCTTGAGGATAAGGCAACAAATCAGCCCAAAATGCCCAAAAAATGCTTTCATGTAATTCCTAATTGTCTGAACTTAACTACTCTTCAATATTACACATTCCTCGACTAATTGGTTTGACTTGATTTCCAAAAATTGTTAGTTTGAAGTTATTTCCACAATGTCACTGGAATTATGTCTTTTAGGCAATGTCACTGGACCTCCGCCGGTGCCTCCGCGGGATTCGAACCTCAATCTGGAGTCTCAATCACAGCTTCCCCCTGCAGTACATAGAAACAATAGCACAAGTGGAGTTCCGAGGTCAGTTTTGATCATTTCAAGTTCTCATCCTTGTTTGAAGTTGTTTTAAAATTGTTTGAAAACTTTCGAGAAAATCCTGGATCCGCCTTGGTCACTAACTAAAAAAATAATTATATTTTTTGCAGCGTCCCCAACTTTTCCGCCAGTTTCCGACCGATTGGCGGGGAGACAGTTCCCAGAACAATGGCATCCAACCTACCTCAAAGAATCACCCCTAATCCCACCCTACAATCCCAACGACCACCAAACGCAGACCCCCCTGCAAACTTCAAAAACAGTCCACTTCTCAGAAACGATTCTACAAGCAGTAATAAATCGCTACCAGGGTTATACATGCAAAGGCAACAACAAATGGCAAACGGATTTCAACATGGTCGCAACGGATCAGGAATGCCGACCCCTCCCCCGCCTATAAACGGGACTCTGAACTCCAACGGGTCAACAGGAGGGTCAATGCACTTCAATCCAGCTTCACTGATGAGATCGAACAGACCCGTCAGGTAAACTATTTCAGTTTTTGAAATCCAACTCTCAGTCAAGAAAAAAGCACCAGCACCATAACTTTAACTTTAAAGCAAGGAATCAGTATAAAGATGTTCAATCATTTTGTAAAAAAAATCAGCTATTTCCGATTATACCATCCATATCAGTCTAGTCAGGGGCGGATTTAGGGTTCGCCCTTCCCCCCTCAGGAATCTTTTCACCTGACCGCCTATAGTGTCTACCCTTCCGTACTACTTTACATCCGGGCTGACCGACCCCAAAATTTTCTAAAGGCGCCAACTTGTAAGGGTGCTCCTAAAAAAAGCAATTTTGTGGCCAAAACTTTCCAAAAAGTACCCAACAATGGTCTTTTTGTCCTTTTTTTCAAAATTTTGCCCTAACATAAAAATTATCTATCATTGAGCGCATAATGGGGATAAGCCAATTAATTTTTTTTTAAAATTATGCATATCTCTATGACAAGCAATAAACAAGGAATTTTTTGACAAAAAAAAACATTTGTTTTTCCATAGACTCAAGTAAAATGTCCAAAAACATTATTTCCGGATTTTTTTGATAACAAACCAAATCAACCCAGATTTGTCGGATAATTATAGACAGCTACAAAAAATGGCTCGGACAACATTATAATTAAAAGCGGTGTCTGGCATTTTGCTTAAGAAGAGCTCTGCCTGCAAAAAAATTCAATTTAGTGGAAATTTCGATTTTGTCATTAATTTTTAACTTTCAATTTGATGAAACACTGTCTAAGTTAGTAGACGAAGCATAGTTTTTTAAAATTTCTGTAGACAGGGGCTTGTTTGTTTGAAAGTACGGAGATCTCTAATCACGCAAACTGTCCACCCTTTGGTACAATTTTACAACATACATTTTTGATCGGCCATCCATGAAGCTTTTTAAAGACGCCTTGGATGCCAATCTACGCCAAAATTCAGAAGCATGCGCTGGAAAAACGCATTTTTAATCAAAACTTTCCAAAAAATTACATAAAAACTTTGTCGACCGAAAAAAAACAACATAGCCAAAAACTGAAATCTATTTTTCAAATGTTTCAGAAATAATTTTACACAATTTGAAATTTTGTTTTTAGTTTCGCAGTTCCAACTGTTGATCAGTCGCAGATATTTGTACCAAACTACAACGCCAACCAACAACACTCTCTTTTTCCACAGGGTAACCAATCCAACGCTTAAATGGAGAAATGTAAACACATAGAAAAATACTGATGACAGTAATCTATTTGCACTAATTTTTGTGATGTCATTGTTGCTTAATGTTTCCTTATTCTGGTATATTATTGATTTAATACATCATTTTACTCAATATAATGAATAAATGTACAAACTCGATATTTTCTTAGTGCAGCCGGGTAAAAAATGTCAATTCGAAAGACCTAATTGGAAAAAAACTATCGACCGAATTGAAAAATACTGTATAGAATTACTGATTATATAAAACATTTTGATCGGTATCAGTGGTTGCTTATGGAAAATGAAAGGCATTGAAACTCTTAGCTGAAAAAAAAACACACATTTTAAAACATTTTTTGGTTACCTTGGTCAGAAAAACGCAACCATTTTAATCAATTCTTCTGAACTCGGATAGAGTTTTTAGAATTTGTTTCGTTAATTTTGGTCATAATCTAAAAAACTTAATTATGAGACCATGCTGATTTTTTTTGAAGACTTTCAATAAATTGGTAATTTTTTGATGTTTTTTTCTGTCTAAGCATCATTCTTTGAAACCATTTGTTTACATTTTGATTCTTTTAAGGGTTTATTAAACTGATCCTGAATGTTAATTGTTTTCGAACAAGCTGCTGAGCTTAAGTCAATCGCCCGAAACAATTTCGAAAAAAAGCTTGAACTGACCGAGAAAGCCCAAAATAAAATTTTATAAAATGTGAGACTGAAAGTATAATGATATAATGAAAGAAACTGAAACAAATGCAATAACGTTTTTGGCAGCATTGCAAAACTCTGCGGCTTTACAACAAAAAGCAACAAATGTAGAAAAAATGGCTACAAAAGATACCTCACAACGTTCTCGCTAAACAAAAAAGTAATATCAAATTATCCCATGTACGGAAAAAAACCTAAAAACACGTACTATAACATTTAAAGCAGATGTTTTATTGCATTTGCACAAATTTAAATTGAGTTTTTTGTTCTAAATTTGTATTGAACTAGCACAAATAATTTTAAAATGAGAAATTCTGCATTGAATGAGTAAATACTAAAGTCCAGGAAGAGTCTTAAATCAATTTTTTACTGAAAAAAAACCTCGCAACAAAATGGCCTGTTTTTATATCTTCTTGGCGTCTATGAATTTCAACATAAGCGTATGACAAAACTATAACAAACTGGCTCTGAAGTAGATAAAGATCCTATGAATGCTCGAAAACTGCAACCGTAAGTTCTTATTTTTGTAAGTTAGTTGAAGATAACCAGAAGCTCAATGCTGAAAGATCGGAACTTTTCTAGTTGTGCAATCGAAGCACACAAGCTAAAACCAAACCATTTAACAACCAGCACGGGCTAAAAAAATCAAAAGTTGAATGATAGTATTCATTAAGAGAAAAATTGAAAACAATTTGTTTCTAGTGAGAAAATTCAAAAATTTTTAATCGGGCGCAAATTCGCTTTGCAAACTAATCAAAAATCTGTGCAACACCGCATTGCTCCAGACGCACAAGTATCCAAAACAGCATCAGCCAGAGTAACCAGTTGGGCTATAAAGCAGATGGAAATTGTTTATAAATTGATCTATGTTCCAGGAGAGCAAAAATCTGTCATTTTATACCTTAATCGAGTAACGGCTGTTTTAAATCCTAAGAGATTATTTTGTTTATTTTTTCTAATTAACCAAATAATTACAAGGGCAATTCGTGTTGTAGGCAATTCTCCGTAAGGAACTTTTTTAATGGGATCTTATCAAAAAAGATCAAAAACCGACAAAAATTTTGATCATGGAAATTAGAAACTGGTAAAGCTGTTTATTTTAAACAAAATTTTTAACAAAGTCAAATAAAGTTACATTTAATTTCAACAAAATTTTAAGCAAAATCAAACAAAATTAACATTTTATAAAAAATTGATTATAAGGTCGTCATTTTATCGTATTTGAAAAAGTGAACATCAAGAAAGTGAAACTATTTTGACTAAGAAGTTTTAGAAAAATAATCTACGCCGTTCATGTACATAAGTTTATCTGCAGAAATAATTTTTCGCGCCGTCATGGTCTTAAATCAAGTTAACAAATGATTCATCGACTGAAAGAAAAGGTCAGAATAACTACTACCACACACACTAATTAATGATACAGCTGGTAAATTGTTTAAATTTGAACTTGCGAACTGTAGGCGTAAAGTTGCTTAAAAATACATCGTTGTGTAACAGTAAATTTCTCAGAACATCACTCGCAATCAATAAAAAGCGCATAAATGTAAACGGCAACTGTCTGTCCTTTAACAGTGAGATTTAAATTAGAACTCTCAGCCGAAACTTGAGTAGATGAAATATACGAATTTGTATCATCTACAGTAGCTGAAAAATAAATATTTGAGTTGATGTTTGTGGTGGTCCTTCTATTATCAGTTGGAGCTCAACCAACTGTCGAAATGTGTCAACTAAAATAATTCTTCTTGGTAGTCAGCAATCATATCCATGAAGACGATGCTAAAAATTGCGAATGCATTTTAGGTTTAAAAATTAGCACACACCGGGAACAATTGGACGAATTATTTTTATATTCTCTTATGACATATCTCAATTTTGTGCAAATGACTAAAACACAGAATAGCTTTGCGGCAAATTATCCCTTTTATCAATCTGCACTTCAATCTTGATAATTTTCCAGATAAGTTATATTGGTGTCAGGACTATTTGCCCCAAGTCAATTAGCCCTATGCCAACTTGTCCTATACTAACTTGCGCTACATGGCAACTTGTCCTATGCCAACTTGCCCCACATGACATTTTGTCCTATGCCGCTTTATCCCATTACTAACACTTTTACTTGATTCATTGATGTTCAAATTGAGGACCAGCAAGTGCTAATGTACACTGGACTCGTTTCGAGATAACAAAAGACTCTAATCGAAAATATTCGAAGCTGAGCCTAAAAAACCATAATTTTTGGTAATTACACGCCAAACTCTCAACGAAACAAACGAACGCTAATTATTGACGGACACGATTTAACAAAAAAGCAGACGACAAAAACTACTGAGCACTGGAGATGCGCAAGATACAGTTCACACAAATGCCGCATGCTCGCCGTCACAGCAGGAGATGAACTCGTCTCAACAAAAAATGAGCACAGCCACGATGTTAGACCTGGGAAAATTGAGGCAAACCAGATCATGCATCAGATGAAAAAAGAGGCCAGGCAGCAAATTAAACCTGTTTCAAGGTACATTATTTCAAGGCCATTATTTCAAGGCCAATACTTCAATAATTTTGCTCTTTCCCTCACCCCGCCCCCTATTCTGGGTTACCCAGTATAGGGGGGTTTAAGGGGCGAGGCAGTACCTGCGGTTTTCCATTTCATTGATTTCATACTAAAATTTTTTGACTTCTTTAAGTTTTGAACTCTTGACTTCTTGATTAAGAGTGTTGTGCACTATTAACTATGCTATAGAAGCTTACAAAATCAGCAATCAATCTTTTGAAATTTTTAACTCGGCATGAAAGTTGCATTGAAGTTTTGCCGCTTTCATTTTGTTCATGCATGCTTTGAACTCATTTTGATTCAGCGCATGTTTAAATGATTCCGCATTTTGTTTCAAGCTTAATTGTTCAACAAAAAAGTCTTTCATCTTTATGCCGACATTATGTTCTACGAGGATATCAAAGAGTATGGGGCAAGTTTCATTTTTTATTATATGGGACAAGATGGCATTGGACAAGTTGTCATCTGGGGCAAGTTGAAATCGGACAAGTTGGGCTGGCACAAGTTGACTTGGGGCAAAATGACATGTAACCGTTTTATTAAGTCATTCGCTTCCCACTGAATCACAGCAGTACTTTCCAGACCCCGCCTATTTAAATGAATAAGAGCAAATACTTGAGATTTCGCAGTCTGAGGAGCCATTGACCTGGCTGACTGCTTTCTCAGGGAAAGCATGTTCGGATAAGAAAAACGACTAGACTGAGAAGAAACGAATCCAATAGGCCATCAAAAAACAAATTTCTTTCTCAGTCACTCTGAAATGCCAGCAATCTTAATCTTGAAGTTGAGTAATCTGGCTTACCCAACCGATTTCAGTGAGATAATGTTCAATGATTTTTGTCACTTGGAACGAAGCTACTGCAGAACCAGAAAGCGTGTGGTTATTGCTGAAAGAAACAAAAACTTTATCGACAGTTCAAAATCAAGTCTGGCAAGGATTTGCTTGGGAGACTTCGTGAAGCTGCTCTTTACTGAAAGTTTTGAGAACTTAAAAATAACGCTAATGCGGAGTACGAGTTGATAGAGCTGACCGAAGTCAGGATACAATATAAGACATTCATTGAACTAAGACCAGCAGACTTCAAACTTGAGGCAATTATATTTTAAACAGTTGAATTTCTAAGTGATATGCAAACTTTCCTACAATTTAGTGATGAGGCACAGCTTTCTGCTGAGATTTCGGGGATAAAACAAACGATTGATTTGCATGCAAGTCGATTTCTATCTTCACAAAACGAGGGATTGTTAGTGAAGCATTCAACGCTGATTAGTCAGAATGACCGAACTGCATGGGGGTAAATGACTGTCGGATAATTTTTGCTCTTCATTTCAAGTGGTAAGGCAGGACACTTTGTTTTAATTGTCAAAATAATTTAGCTTATTACAACTCAGGTACTGATAGAACTATTAAAAGAGTAAAGTGAGACGTTACTGCGGGTCAATTATGAGAAAAAAGTTGTAAAAACTCTCAGATTGGCCGTAAAACATAAAAACTTATGGCTTGATCTCTCAATAGCACAATTGTACTAAGCCGATGGGAGTGCTGTGGCCCTGGAAGCATACGAGGGACCCAAATTTTACTTCAAAAGAACATGTTTTATGATTTGACGTGGAGTGTACAAAAAGGGTTTTAGGCTTCATGAACGTATTCATTTTTCAATCCGATACGCAGTGTATGGGCTATGAAAAACCTTCTATAGTTTCAAAGATTACAAAAAAATACAATTAAATCGAATGCTCAACACCCAGTCACTTCATTTCTGGAAAACACGCAAGGTCCTGTTGTCAATGCAAAACGCAGTGAAAGCAATTTTACACTAAATGGTCAGAACACGTGTACCTGAGTTATTGCAGCCCGTAGGAGTTACTGACGCATGCAATT